CAATACTTCATGGAAGCCACACCCGAGCTTCCATGAAGGTCACACATAACCAACAAGCACACATCTGATCCCACACAAGGGGGCTGTTTTCCCATCCACAGATGAGCTCCACAGAGGCAAAGGCCAGGACCTCTCAGAGTAAAGACCTTGGTACAGTAGCAGGGCCAGGATCCACACTCAGACTTACCTGACTCAGGGCCCCATATGCTCATCACCCACAGCCAGCTACCTCTCATGTTTATACTCAACTACAAAGTCCAATCTTCATCCCCGTCAACTATGTAAACACCAAGTGTGGGAAGAGAACTCGGTCATATCAGCAGTAAGTGCACTGGCAGCAAGAGATGTGACAAAAATCACACAGCCTCCACCAGAGAGAGACAGGAGGAGGGAAGGCTACCTGCTCTCTCTGCTATCAGAGGAATCACATGTGAGAGGAGAACACTTTTCAGCAGGCAGTGAGGGATGTAGCCTACTGAGAATGACATGGCTTAGGGGACCAGGTCAGGGAGCAGGAGCTGTCCTGTAGGATCCAAAAAAGTGGGCAGTAGGAGGCAAGGAAAGGCAGATCTCAGTGATGTGGGGACTGAGAGAGAAGCAGGAAGGACCGTGGGGGTGATACACAGGGGTGTATTGACAGATGGCCCTGGGAAGAGCCATGGGAAGGAGGAACTAGAGAAACCCAGAAGACTGAATGGGATTCAGCAGTGGGCTGCAAACAGATGAGCCAATCTAATCTCTGTCACACCACCCTACTAGAGAAACCCAGAAGACTGAATGGGATTCAGCAGTGGGCTGCAAATAGATGAGCCAATCTAATCTCTGTCACACGACCCTGAAGAGCACACCATCACAGCTGTCCCTTGGTATCTATAGGGATATGTGAGGGATCCCTCCCACAAAAAAAAAATTGCAGGTGTGCACACTTTGTGGTAATCTGTACTACAATGTAAATATGGGAGAAGATATGATACATTGTATTGCCTAGTGAATGGATGACAGTTTTAAAAAAACAAAACAAAACTATGCACCCTGGCAAGACCTTAGACCTAAGTACATGCCAGCAACAATGTAACATCGAAACCTTCAATCCACAGCTGTTGATACCAGTATGCAGAACCCAAGGCTACAGAGGTCCAACTTGTAATCAAAGACAGAGAAGAGTGTAGGGAGTGAGCACTCCTACCCCCACCCAGCAGGCTTCCTGGTCTTTCCTTCTACCTTAGAAACTGAGCAATGACTGTTCGCCAGTCTGGGCCAATCCAGAGCAAAGAGAACTCTCTCTCACTTTCTGCCTCTAACAAAACCACCTGGCAGGTCCACCATTCCACGTTTGTTTTTCTAGGAGACTAGAGAGAGGAGATCTGAAATGCAAATGAGCAGTGTCAGTGAAAGAACAGCTGTCAAAGGTCAAACCTGAACACAGAGCTTCCTGGTTAGAAAGCAGGACGGTGTCCTTTGCCTGAGAAGGGGGAGTGAACCATTAAGGTGAGTCAGGAAGACTAAAAGGAAGGCTGAGGACAAACAAGCCAGCCAGCAACCCCTCCCCTATGAGAATCCAGGACCCCACTCCAGTTGGGGCTCTCCCTATGGCCACGATGCCTTTGGGATCCTATTGTGAATAAGGCCCAGCTCTGCCTGGATTTGACATCCCAGGAACTATTGGCCTTGAAGTCAAGGGGAGTTCTGGGTTCTGGTTCTAGAACTGCCTTAAGTCCTTCAGTCAGTTCCCTCACCTGTGGGTCCAAAAGAACTGACTCATCTGGACAGTCAGAGGGCCCCTGGGCTATCAGCCTAGAGGCACAGGCCTCGAGTGCCTGCGTATGTGCGTGCATGCATGTGTGTCTTTGTTTTTAAGCAGGGTCTTGTGATGTAACTCTGGCTGCCCTTGAACTCTGTGGGCCCCAGAGATCCTCTTGCCTCAGCCTCTAGATAACTGGGGTGACAGGCTTGCATAGCCACGCCACAGACACTTTACTTTGCAGAGTATTTCAAGTACAAAAACTTGAGCTTCATATTTGTCACCTGGAATACAGAGATGTCAGGGTACTAAGACACCAACTCCCATCCATCATATGTCAGGTCCCCTAAAGCTCCAAACCAGACAGCTTTCCCTTTTATTAGTAAGAAAGGACATGGACACAGTTTCTTATCAAGGCTCTTTCTAAGTTCTTGGCTACAAACATCTTCAAGCACTATGCATTCTGCTAATTAAGGGCAATTAAAGACAAAGCTAGCTCAATGCTCTCTCTGGCTCAATGCCCAGAAAGGAAGGGCTGGGTGGAGGGTAGAAGGAATTCTGACCCAAGGGAAGGGTTGCAGGAGGAAGGCACAGGAAGCTGCAGAGGCTCTGGGGGCCCCACCATCCTCACGAAGCTCTCCTCCCAGTTCCGGGCCTGCACCCAACATCCAGATTCCACAGGCCCTCCTCCACACAGACACTATGTAGCAAAAGGCAGCCCATTGCTGCCCCCAGGAGTCAAGAGTCTGCAGCCTTGGAACCTTCATCTGGGCTGTAAACTACCTAAAACAAAGAATGAAAGAACTAATCTGTCCTACACATGAGCACAGTGATCTGGCAACTGCTATAGCCACTTTGATGTCTGCAGAACAGGGCTTCCCCACCCAAGTCATCTTCACAAATAAAATAGCGCTGATCGAAGTGGAAGACTTCCTTCCCTTCACTCAAACGCATTAAGTCCAAAGAGAGACTGGACATATTTCTAGCACCTGTGCAAGGTGCAGAAGACCACCAGAGAACAGTACTGAACAGAACCGAGCACAGCACTGAAAACCTGACCTGTTTCAGACCCTTCCTTCCTTTACAAGTACTGGTCTTTTTTTTTTTTTTTTTTTTTTTTGGTTTTTCGAGACAGGGTTTCTCTGTGGCTTTGGAGGCTGTCCTGGAACTAGCTCTTGTAGATCAGGCTGGTCTGGAACTCACAGAGATCCGCCTGCCTCTACCTCCCGAGTGCTGGGATTAGAGGTGTGTGCCACCACTGCCCAGCAAGTACTGGTCTTGATCCTCTCAGAAGAAAACTATTTTTCCTTGTAAAGTCTATCCCTGAGGGGCTGGCTCAGTGATTAAGAGCATTTGTTGCCCCTGCAGATGACCCCAGATTCAGGTTCCAGCACCCACATGATGGCTTGCAACCATCCATAGGCATGAATGTGGTGTATATGCATGCAGACAAAACACTCATACCCATAAACTAATCTTTAAATTAATAAAAGTTTGTGAAAAAATACCTGAAAGTTTGTTTGCTCCATCTATGTATTTATATTCAGCCATTGGTTCAGATGGGCAAAGAGAAGGCAACCAGCACTTTTGGCAAAGAGGAGCCAAGATGACTTTGATGTCCCTGAGTGAATACAGTAACTGATGACTACATCTTAAGGAAATTTTTAAAAAACACATTATTATTTCACACATCTGGGAATTTTGCCTGCATATAACCCTAAGCACCCATCCTGCCTGGTGCCTGAGTTAAGAGAGGGAGTCAGATCCCCGGAACTGGAGTTACAAGTAGTTGTGAGTCTCCCTGTTAGTCCTGGGAACCAAACTCAGGTCCTCTGCAAGAGCAGCCAGTGCTCTTAACCACTGAGCATCTCCAACCTTAAGAACACTTTAAGTGAGCACAGTTATAGGCCGGTCACAGTCTCACACAGCAAGCCCACCTCACATGAACCGACTGGACTGGCAGAGCAAGCTAAGTATCCATTTCCAAGAAAAGATGCTTTGACTTCAAAAGTAGCAGGCTGTCAAAAGCAGGATGCAAAACAGAGGCCGCTGTGCAGTGATTATTAAACACAAACAGGAACTTCTGGAAGAAAATGTATCAGGGGCTGAAGAGAGGGCAGGGCAGAGCAATGGTGCTTGCTGCCAAGCCTTGGGTCCCACATGGGAAGAGAAAATTGATTGCTCCAAGTTGTTCTCTCTCTCTCTCTCTCTCTCTCTCTCTCTCTCTCTCTCTCTCTCTCTGTCTGTCTGTCTGTCTTTCTGTCTCTCTGCCTGCTTCTGTCTCTCTTTCTCTCTGTCTGCCTGCCTCTGTCTGTCTGTCTGTCTGTCTGTCTCTCTCTCTCTCTCTCTCTCTCTCTCTCTCTCTCTCACACACACACACACACACACACACACGTAACAACTCTCTCTGTCTGCCTGCCTCTGTCTGTCTGTCTGTCTTTCTTTCTCTCTCTCTCTCTCTCTCTCTCTCTCTCTCTCTCTCTCTCTCACACACACACACACACACACACACACACACACACACACACACGTAACAACAACAAAGAGTAAATGAAGTAGGGCACAGAAAGAGTTCTTTGCCTCCTTTTCCAAATGATATGTTAGAGCAGTCAGAGAGCTGGGAGTGTCGTTTAGCGGTAGAATATTTGCTGAGCACGCTTGAGGCCCTATGTTTGACCATTAGCCCTTCCTCCCACCTAAAGCAGTGAGTAGCTAAACAAGTATGACTTTTACTTAACTTTTTCATTTACTGCAGAGCTGTGGATGGACCCAAGGCCTTGTGCACAATAGGCAAAGATTCTGCCACAGAGCCACACCCCCAGCTTTTTATTTTTTTAAAGAGAGGGGTCTTACCATGTAGTCCAAGCTGGTTCCCAACTCACAGCCCTGTCTCAGTCAGATTATAGGTGTATGCTATCACATCCAACTCAACATATATAATATTTCTTCTTTTTTTGAGGGCAAGTTCTCACTACACAGCCCAAGCTGGCCTGCAAACCTCCTACCTTTATCAACTGCTGGATTGCAGGTGCACTACAAACCAGTAACTCATACAATACTATCTCGACATGTAGCCTTGGCTGGCCTCGAACTCAGAGATCCGTGTCCTTCCCAAGTGTCAAGATTACAAGCACACAGCCCTGTTCCTGGCTTCCATTAAGACACTTTTCACACAGAGAACACATCAGATTTTGCAAGAGCAGCTAACACTGCCCCTTACCTGCTTGTGAGACCTAAGAACGAACACAAATGGGCTCACCTGAGGTTCAACTTCCGTTCCTCATCGCTGCCAGCCTCCAACTGCAGAGAGAGAAAGAGAATGTAACTCCACAGCCCCAGCTAGCTATCGGTCCTGACAGCAGGCTCCCCCGGGTGCCGGGAAAAGATAAAGACATCCAGGAAGGAGGCTGGCGCGTTAGACTCACCCAGGCCCTCTCCTTGCCAACCTGATGTGTTGTTCCTCTGAGTCATCCCCACCACGTTTTCAGGTTTCCGAATGTTTACCCCATGCTTGCTACAGTCTAGCAGCTGCCTGCCAGCTGAACCCCTATGAGACAGTGTTGCCCAACACATTCTTTCAGCCCTCAACTCTTGACTCCACACATTGGCTCTAAGCCTTATTTTGGTTTTGCTTTTAAGGGAAACAGGGCAATGTTTTAAGGAGATCTATTTCTCTGTCCAGCCAGGCACTACTAGTAAGTCCACCTTAAAAATCCATTCCAAAGCAGGACCACACACCTGTCATCCTAACTAGTCAACAGGCTGAGGCAGGGAAAACTGCTTGAGCTGGGAACTTGACAGCAGCTCAGGCAACCTAGGAAGCAGGCCTGTCCAAGAAAAAAGCCATTCCATACAAGGTAGCCTAGCACTGAATTCTAAAGGTGTACGTTTTAACCCCATCACTATTTTTTTTTCCTTTTCTTTTCAGGAGAAACACATAACATGATAAGAAAACACAAGGCTGCACCATGGGAGCTTGTGTTCTAAAAGCACCCATGGAATGGGAGAGAACCCGGAAGCTATGAGATGGCCAGGACTGACACAAGGCTGACTGGGGATGATACAGCCAGAGGTCAAGGACACCAGGGAACGGGTCCAGAGCAAAAGCTGGGAGGAAACTGGGCAGCAAGAGATATACAGCAAGAGGTAGCAACTTCAACCAAGAATGGGCATACCGTAAGGCCCCAGCATTTGCCTTAGATAAAAGATTCTGTGCACACTTTCACAGATAACACACACTAGAAATGGACCACATTTGCTCCTGGGCTCTGAGAAAGAAGAAAGTAGGGAAGGCTCTACACCACAGGGTCAGAGGGAAGCAAAGTAGTAGCAATCAACACATATGAGCATATGGTCACCAAGGGCCCCCAGGCCATTTTTGGACAGTGCTACTGGCATCCAATGGGTGGAACATGGGATGCTGCTAAATGAGAAGGCTCTGACCCTGAGTATCATCGAGGCTTAGAAACCTTGGCCCAGCCCAGTGTCTGGAGACTTGCCTATGCCTTGGGGGCAGGGGGGAACCTTGCACATTTGTCAGAAACAATGTTACTAACACTCCAGGAAGGCTGGTGTATCTATTTCTCTGCTCCCCTGGTTCTCACAAAGGAGCTCACAGAAGGTTAACAGGAAAACGACAAGTATGTGATAATTAAAGATCCAGAAGGAAAGAAAAGTGGGGGAAGGACAAAATTAGAGTACAGGATTGCTGTAGGGCCAAGGGCTGTGATTTCTCTTGGTTTCCCAGGCTTGGCGGTTAGCCTTGCTGTGTCAGGAAACTACCTTGTCCCTGACTCATAAAAGAAGTGGCATTTTGGTAAGTGGTGGCGATGGGGGGGGGGGTGATGGGCTTCACAGTCATTTATTTCTCGGTCACCCTCTGAGGTTTTTCACTGAAAGGTGACATAAGGTCAGGAATGCCAGAGGAGAGACAGTGAAGACCATCATGCTTAAGTAATCCAGGCCTCTCAGATGAGCAGAATGAGAGAGGATGCCAAGTGGAGGAAGGGCAGGCAAGAGGCACCGCCAATCTGGACCCAGGTCTCCCAGCCCAAGGTACAACTGCTACCTCCTCTCTGCCTTGCTTCTGGCCTCAGGACATCTGGAAGGCAACCTTACCATCCTAGGGACATCCCAGCCTGTTCTATCACTGGAGACAAATGTTGTCAATATACCAAAGGTGTGCTGTCTGGGATTTTAGAGTTTGTTTTAGTTTGTGAGGTTTTTTTGTTTTGTGTGTGTGTGTGTGTGTGTGTGTGTGTACTTGTGTGTATGTGAGTGGTATGTGTGCAAATGTATGTGCATGTACATGTATGAGTATTGTGTGTGGATGCTAGAGACTATGATGGTGTCTTCTATAGTGAGTCAGGGTCTTCTCAATAAATCCATTCTTAATTTCACTAGTCTGGGGTGTTGGTGGCGCACGCCTTTAATCCCAGCACTTGGGAGGCAGAGACAGGTGGATCTCTGTGAGTTAGATGCCAGACTGGTCTACAGAGCAAGTTCTAGGCCAGCCAGGGACACACAGAGAAACTTTGTCTCAAAAACAAAACAAAACAAGAAAATCTTATATAATAATTTAATATGTTGACTAGGACAGGGCTGCAAACAGCTCAGCAGTTAAAAGCACTTGTTGCTGTTCTTCTAGAGGATTTGAAATCAGATGCCAGCAGCACCCACATCCTACAGCTTACAAATCCCTGTACGCCTAGCTCCGCAGAATCTAATGCCCTCTTCTGGTCTCCTGCACATATCCATAAAGATAGACACACACACACAATTTAAAATAAAACTATTTTGGGGGGAAATGTCTGGGGATGTAGTAAAGTAGCTGGAACACATAGGGTCCTGGCTCAACACTTAGCATGCACTTCCAAAATGCCAGTACCTGGGCTGCAGAGGCAGGCGGCCAATCCCAAATCTGAGAGTCCAGCTTTGTCTAGATAGTCCCAGGCCAACCAGAACTACATAGTGAGAGGAAGGAAGAGAAATCTAGTCCCTCCCTGAAGCCACACTCTTCCCTAAGAGCCTGTAGTTTTGTAGGAAGAGCGTGAGATTAAGGGGATAAAAAGTACTTTGTAAACTGACGTGGGTGAACCGAGCTGTGTGGGAAGAGTTTCTACTACAATCCAACTTCTCAGTTGCCCTGCCTAATTGTGTGCGTGCAAAAAAAAAAAAAAAAGAGGCAACCAAAACCGTCTGCCTGGAGATAAAACTCATGAAAGAGCCTCAGACAGAAGAGACCCTGGAGGCTTAACCTCACTGCCACTCAGCAAATGTGCCTGCCAGTCGCGGCAAGACGAAACCAAAACGCAACACTACGGGGATACAAGGTTGTTGAGCTAGTGTCTCATGCAGGCACACACAACCCGGGGAACAGGGCCCAGAATCCAGCTGGCAACTTCCTGGGCCTGCAGGGCTGGTCCAAGCACAGCGGGGCGTCCCCTGCAGCAGGCTGGGTCTTCGGGAGTTTACTCCGAGGCCTTAGGTTTATCATGGGTGGGGTGGGGGGTGAGGCGGGCTGGGGCAGCGCAGCCTAGAGCAGGCCGTCCTGGGGATCGGGGCGCGCCGGTCCCCCATCTACCCCGGCTCTCAACAGCATGGAGCCCAGGCCCCGAATGCACCCTGGGACCGCGAACCCAGAGCCGGCCAGAGGCTTTCCCGGTGCCTGGCGCGCTGGCAGCATCCCCCGCGACCCCGACCCCGCGCATGCTCAGTCACCGGGACGCGGGGATGCCCGCACCCCAAGGGCGGACGCGCCTCCGCTTCACACCTTGCGGGAGGGCGCGGCCGGGCTCACCTCGCTGTTGCTGGCGGAGGACGATGCGGCACTGGGCGTGGGAGAGCGCTGCAGGGTCACCAAGGCCATTGCGGCGCGGGCCGGGCCCGGGGCCTCCAGCAGCCGGCCCGGCAGCCGCGCCGGGCCCGCCCCTCCTCCCTACCTCCCTCCCCCTCCCTCCCGCGTCCGCCCCCACCCCCGCGTCCTCCCGGTCCGCAGCACGCAGGCAGTGAAGCGCATGCGCCGGTGGCCGGCCTGGGGCGGGCCCTGGGGCACGGTCACGTCCACTCGTGCGCGCCCCCGCGGTGGTGGCAGCAGTCCAGCTTGGGTCCAGTCTTCGAAGCCCGGCTAGCCCACAGCGTGGGGGAACTGAGGCCCGGGAGGCCTGCGGAGCCAAGGCTTTGTAAAAACGCACTCGTTTGTTCTTTCAGGAAAGTTATTCCACTCCCATTAAGCCAAGTAGGCGTGCCCTCCGGGACTGTGAAATCCGCTTGCAGAGTTATTTTGCTTGGGGTTGGGGTCCAGTCCAGTAGCAGGGTGCCCAGACTGCTTAAGATACTAGATTCCATCCCCAGCACCACCAGGGGCTGATTTAATCTATGAATTCCTTCTGATGTCTAGGAACCCAGCGAGCCGGGTGGGGTGAGGAAAGGCGTCCCTATGGAGTAGTGCTTGCTGGAACGCAGGATCAGTGAGCGGGATTAACTGAGGGAAAGAAGCCATCCGGCAGGAAACTGGTCCGACCCGAGGCCTATGCAGGGAGGGCAAGAGGGAGCAGTGGGCACGTTGCATTGACTTAGCAAAAGTCGCCAGTGGTCCTGCCGAACCGTGAGGTGGAAGGGCTACAGCAAGGTGGTACTGGACGTCTTGGTAATAACTTCTCTTTCATACAGCCCCCACCTCTACCCTGGACTTCTGTGTGGTGCCCAGGCCTTGCTGATCATAAATCTCCAATCCCACTCCTCCACCTGGGGTTTAATAGACGGGTCAACCTTCCTCCTCAATGCCCAAGTGGAAACCCAGAAAGCCATCTGGCTCCTCTCTGCCTCTTCCAGGTCCTGGACTTTAAAAAGGATTGTCTTTCTTCTGAAAATTTTATTTATTGCTGTGCAGTGGTGGTGCAAGCCTTTAATCCCAGCACTCGGGAGGCAGAGGCAGGTGGATCTCTGTGAGTTCGAGACCAGCCTGGTGTACAAGAGCTAGTTCCAGGACAGGCTCCAAAGTCACAGAGAAACCCTGTCTCGAAAAACAAAAACAAAAAAACACAAAACAGGCTGAGCAAGCCATGGGGAGCAAGCCTGTAAACAGCACCCCCCCCATGGCCTCTGCATCAACTCCTGCCTCCAGGTTCCTGTCCTGTTTGAGTTCCTGTCCTGACTTTTTAAGTGGTGGATTATGATATGAAGGTGTAAGCCAAATACATGAGTTGCTCATGGTCATGGTTTTTCACCACAGCAACAGAAACCCTAACAAAAAGGTAAATCTAGGATTTTCTCCTGTCTCCCCAGTCCTTAACCAGAGTCAGTTCTAATGCTCTTGGTTTTACCTCTGGCTACACATTGCCACTGGTCCCTACACCCTTCCTGTCTGTGGGACTAAAATCTTCTTCCTGTTGCCCTGCTCTTGCTACTCCATCCTACCACAGAACCCCTCTCAAGTCCATCCCACCCCTTCTCACTTCCTCCTTCGGCTGAAAGGTTCCTGTCCCACAGTTAGACATCACCGCCACAGAGCCTTCCCTGCCCCCAGACAGTGTCCTTTCCACAATAATACAGCCCTGTCCCAGCCCCCCAGCTGCCATTACATCTATATTCATCCTGTACCTCAGGCATTCAGCCTGAAATGTCCCTAAGAAAGGTCTCAGGGAGGAGGCAGGAATTGGGGGGGCACCAAATACTTAGGGAATATACTCACAAATTCATGGACAATTACTATTGTGATTTGTTTTTTTTTTATTTGTGTGTATGTATGCGTCTATGTGAGGGTATGTGGATGTGCATGTAGGTGCCCAGAAGAGGGCAACACATCCTCTGGAGTTGGAGTTACAAGCAGTTGCCAGCTGCCCAGCTCTTGTCCTTGGCAAGAGCAGCAAGTACTCTTAACAGCTGAGCCATCTCTCCAGCCCTGAGATGGCTTTCTAGGATAGCAGTATTGGTATATAAAAATCTGCAAGGAACAAAACACCAAAACTTATAAAAAGACAGGATCAACACCAAGTTTGTGATTATATTTTTTTTCTTCCACCCCAGACTCCTGTATGCTCAGCATGGCTCATTATTGATTTGATTCTGTCTTGAGTTAAAAGTTTTAGTCTTGGGGCTGAAGAAGAGACTCGGTGCTTAAGAGCACTAACTTCTCTTGAAGAGGACCTGGGTTCGATTCCAAGCTCCCCCACATGGCAGCTCCTAACCAGCTGTAACTCCAGTTCCAAGGATATGATGCCCTCTTCTGGCCTCCTCAGACACTGGAGATTCATGTGGTATGCACATGTGCATGCAAACAAAACACATAAAGTAAAGTGAAGTCAAATTTTTTAAAAAGATTGATTTTTTAATGGACATAGATTTATTAAGGAAAAGAGGGAAAGAAGCCCCAGGAGTGGGAGAGGCTTCAGGGAGAAGAACTCTACTGTCTGATTCTCCTAAACTCTTCCGTGGCACAGCATGTGGGAGGAGACGAAAGAACAGCTTTTCCCCAGCACTCGTGGTCCATGACTCCTGCCATGCAGCTTCCAAGAAACCCGGAGGGCACCAGTCGGCTGGAGTAGTAACTCCAGAGGCTCCTTGCATCCTGCAAATTTCCTTTTTTTTTCCAGTTAGAACTTGTTTAATCATGTTTGACCTCAACAAAGTTTCACTAAATGACCCAGCCTAGCCTTGAAATCATGATCTTTCTGCCTCTTCTACCTAAATGCCGGGATTACAGGCATGAGCCACCATGCCTAGCAAGTTTCATAACTACTAAAAGCAGTGCTGGGGGCTAGGGAGATAGGTCAGTTTGTACCGTGCCTACCTGAGGGCCTGGAGTCTGTACTGTACCTACCGTGCAAGCCTGAGGACCTGTAGTTTACTGTGCCTACTATGCAAGCCTGAGGGCCTGGGGTCTGTACTGTGCCTACCATGCAAGCCTGAGGACCTGGGTTGGGATTCCAGCACCCACATAAAAACTGGGTGTAGGAACATGCATCTGTAACCCCAGACTCAGGGTTGAGGGAATAGACAAGAAAATCCATGGAGTTCATTAGCCTAGCAGAATTTTGTGACAGACCCTTTCTCTGAAAACAAGGTGACAAGTGATGGAGGAAGATCTTACGACTTCTGGTCTCCACATATGTGTAAACATATCTACATATACATGCACCCCCACACTCACCTAGGTGTTAATATGAAGCACTGCTTGGTACATGTGTTGGAGATGCAGTTTGGCAGCAGGTAATTTCACCATCACCACAAAACCCAACTCCCCCTACCCATCACTTCCTCCAGGAAGCCTTTCCTGGCCCTTGGCTGGTTCTAGGAGCAGTAGTGTTTGGGGCCTGCCCTGTGTGTGTTCTGGTTTTTTGTTTTGTTCTGTATTTTTGAGACAGGGTCTCACTGTGCACCCTGGCTGTCCTAGAAGTCACTTTGTAGACCAGGCTGGCCTCAAACTCACAGATATCTGCCTGCCTCCCAAGCATTGGGACTGAAGTCCTAAACCATTGGTTCTTGTCATACTGCTATGAATCTCATTTCACGAATGAGGAAGTAGCTACTCAGAGGGTTAAGCTTCTCAGTAAAGGTCACAGAACCAGGAAGGGTGAAGCTCTGTGGCTCTGCCTCAGAATTCAAACAATGGCCATTCCCTCAGGAAAGTTTAGGAAGGGGAAGGTATGAGATCTCTGCTGATAGTTTGACATTTTAGGGGTTGTTAAAATGTCTAGGTTTACCCAGTAACGAGACACAAACCATGACTCAACGATCCCACGTGGAGTTTTATTGGTGGACAGGGAGGGAAAGGGAGGTGAGAGGTAACCAACTTGTGCAGAGATGAGAGAGAGAGGGAGAGAGAGAGAGATGATGATGATGATGATGATGATGATGATGATGATGATGATGATGAGATGGAGCAGAAGATGAGAGTAAAAGAGAGCGTAAGTGGGCCAGGGTCAGTCCTTTAACAGGGTCCTTTGCACCTGCGTGGTTCTCACAGAACTCTGGGCTGGCCAGAGTGCTGCCTAAGTGCATCCTGCCAGGTAACAGGGCAGCCAGTGTAATGCCTGAACCTTTCATTCCCACCTTTATTTATGATTAAAAAGAGATGGGGGTGTTAGACGTGGCAGGTTAGGGAATAAGGACGTTGAGTTCTTAAGACTACTTCCTGCTGACCTGGGGGTGTCGACCATCTTTGGGGAACCTGAGAAAGCTGGGGTGTTGCCACAACCTGGGGTAGCTGGTTGTTCCATTGGAGTCCTGGCTGTCTGGTACTCTGGCATCTCTGTAGATCTGGCAAGATGTTAGCAGAGTAGAGGACAAAGTTAGGTTTAAAGTTTTCTTCTTGGGTCCTGGTATTTGAGGGGAAGATTGTAAGATGAGGGAGGGGTTCCCCAGGGGTCTCAAGATGAGGGAAGGCATTATGCTGGCCTGCCCTGTTACCTGGCAGGATGCACTCACGCAGCACTCTGGCCAGCCCAGACATTTTTTTTTTTTTGATTTTTGAGGCAGGGTTTCTCTGAGGCTTTTGAGGCTGTCCTGGAACTAGCTCTTGTAGACCAGGCTGGCCTCGAACTCACAGAGATCCGCCTGCCTCTGCCTCCCGAGTGCTGGGATTAAAGGCATGCGCCACCAACACCCGGCCCCAGCCCAGACATTTTAACAACATTAGGAGCAAATGATTTGTAATTTCTCCTTAAACTACTTGCTTAGGAATGAAATTCCAAGTTAATACAGTCCTAGAAGTCTGAATCACAGCCCACAAATATATCTATATCTCAGGCAGTGGTAGTACACATCTTTAATCCCAGCACTCAGGAGGCAGAAGCAGGTGAATCTCTGTGAGTTCGAGGTCAGCCTGGTCTACAGATTGAGTTCCAGGACAGCTACAAAGCTACACAGAGAAGCCTGTCTCAGTTAAAAAAAAAAAAAGTCCACATCTCATTCCCCAGAACACATCACCTTTTGGAGTTAGCACACAGTGTGTTCATTGTTGAATGAGTGTAGGCACACCACCTCACAGAGAAAACGGGAAGCTGCCGAGGCAATGGATAGGGTTTGAGTAGGCGGCCCAGCAGATCATTCTGTGATGTCCCCTCAGCCTGTGAGGGTAGGGATGGGGCGGGAAGTTTATGGAGACGTCCCCTTTGGGGCTGAGCGAGCACTCAGTAGTCTCTTGCTAATAATCTATTATTCTCGGCACTTCGACCAGTTAGGAGTCTCTGCATTCAATGTTGGCTATCACACGAAGAAGCATCTCTGGCCAAGGATGAAGAAACCACTAATCTATGGATATAAGCATAAATATCTGTGAAAGGTAGGTTGTCAGTAGTAGGTTCCTCCCTATGACCTGTGACCTCCTGAGCCATGGGCCAAGTTTACATCACAAAGCCTGCAATCTTCCCTGTGACAGGCTCAGATCCAACGCAAAAGCAGTTGGCTACCTCCACAGCCCTTGTACCACTGTCGCACCCGTAAACGTGCCTCATCTGGCTGGCAGATCAGTATTGTAGGACAAAAGACCACACCTGTCTTCTTCTCCGCCCCCTGGCCTGCAAAGCATCTTCCAGCACTAGCCACTGAAGGGACCAGCCCCCGGCTCTAGCAGGCATGACAGGCTGCAGAAAGGACATGTAGGCCTCTGACTCAGCACATGTCTGACCTTGCTGGTGGGACTCTGGATGCGCTTTATGGCTCTGGGAGTGCTTTACGGTGAAAATGGCACAACAGTGACTTGCAGATCATAGCAACCGCCCTGGGAGGGCCTACAGGCCATAACAACCAATTGATCAATCAACACAGGAGACGTCATCCAAGCCTGGGAGCGCACCAATCCTGACACTGTTGCATGCTCCTAGACACTCCCCTTATGCTGCTCAATAAGTCCCCCCCACACACCCTATTTCTTGGAGTCCTTCTCACTCTATCTGCCATGTTGGACAGATGAAGGGCCCAAGTTAATGCAGTTACCTCGTTAAACAACAACAAAAGACTGTTTGCTTTTGCATCGGAACAGGTCTCTTGGTGATTCTGGGGTTCAGAATCTGGGCACAGCACCACCAGGGAGGGAGTTTTCAGGTAAATTTCCACCTGATTGCTCTGTGTCCTGCAACCAAGTGTGTTGTATCTTAGCAATTGGTCTTACCATCTAGTTCTGGTGGGTAGCCAAGAACAACAGTAACCTGTGTAGTTCTGAAAGCCTCTGTCACCTCCATGACCAGTAACTCATAAGGAGGTATCCCACATCTTGAACTGAGATTTTTATATAATAACCCATGTCATCTGAGGGATGCATTGCCTAGCCATGCAGAGTCCCTGTGTCGGAAACCTGTCTAGTAAAACAGTAATAATTGTGCTAGTGGCACACGCCTTTAATCCTCACTCTGGAGACAGAGGCAGGCAGATCTCTGTGAGTTCGAGGCCAGCCTGGCCTACAGAGCGAGTTCCAGGACAGCCTCCAAAACAATACAGAGAAACCCTGTCTCAAAAAGACAAAAAAAAAAGTAATAATTGTAAGTTTTAAGAAAATCTATATAATTAATCTATAACATAGCATGTGGGAGGACACTGCAGGGGAAATTCCTACATATGGATTTTCAGTAGATATTACAAAGAAAAAAAAACAGAAAATGATTTTGAGAGTGGATCTCGCTATGGAGACCAGGATAGCCCTAAATGCGCAACTAGCTATGGAGACCAGGATAGCCTCAAATGTACAGTCTTTTTGCCTTAGCCTTCCAAGTACTATATTATAAGTATAAGCCACCATGCCACCTAAAAATAGACTTAAGTAAAAACATATAGATCTAGCTGTGGAGATGGCAATACCTGTAATCCTAGCACTTCAAGGCTGAGGTAGGAAGGTCAGGAGTGCAAGGCTAGCCTCATCTACTTCTCTGGGCTGCATAATGATACTTTGTCTCAAAACTAAATCAAATAGAATTTAATTCTTTGATAGATAAGTAACATTTACAACAAGGGGTAACATCTATAAATATAGAAAGAGTGCCCTCAAGTCAACAAGAAAAAAAGTTGACACACCTCATTATAAAAATGAGGTACAAAGTAAAGACACATTTGAGGAATTAAATACAAAGGCCGATCAGCATATGAAACTGTGCAGGGATACCGGGACAAGAGTGGTGCCAATGAAGGTGGTATAAAATTTAAGGAGCTCTAACTGTCCAGTGGGACAAGTACAGCTGGATTCTGAGGTGAATACCCCTTTACATTTGTAAATACCCAGAGCCCTCCTGGAGGGCAGGTAGATCATATTCCACATGTACAAACTCTTTGGCCCAATGACTGCTTTTTTAGGAGTTGATCCTAAAACATCAGTTAAGCAAAGGGGCCAGGAAAGACATCCAGGACAACTTTGCAGAATCAGGAAATAAGAAAGAAAGCCAGGCACTGTGGTTCACACCTGCAGTTCCAGCCCTCGGGAGGCTGAGGCAGGAGCATTGAGGGTTCCAGGCCTGTCTGGACTAATTAGTGAGATCCTGTCTCAAAACAAACAGCTAAGACAGAGATGACCGAGTGATAGCCTGCTTGCCTAGGCTGCTGGAAGCCCTGGGTTTGATCCCCAGTACTATCAACCAGAAGAGACCTGTAATGCCAGCACCTGGGAGGCGGAGGTAGGACCAACTCTTTAGGGTCATCTTTGACTCGGCAGCAAGCTGGAGACCAATCCGGCAGGCATGAGCCTGACCGGACTCCACCAGAGGGTTTGTTTTCTGATCTCATCTCCTCCTTCCTACCCTGGCTTCTGACTTGAGTGTGTTAGATGATGACAAGGGAGTCGTGTTGTTCATCAACCAGGCAATGGATAGAATGACCTTCTACTCCCATAACTCTGGTCAAATAAACAAAAATTGCTTCTGCAGCTCTGGGACATCTGATTTAATGATTATCAGTTTGAGCCTCTTCTGAGATACCTGAGAAGATAACTTCCCACCAGAAGAATGGGGGGGGGAGATAGTGAGACAAAGAGAGGAAGGGAGGGAGGGCGGGAGGGAGGGAGGGAGGAAGGGAGACTGAGCTGTAATTTGTCTAATTTTTCTGTTTCTTGTTTAGGGCTAAGGGCATTCTCATACAAGCTTTTTGATTGGTTATGTCTTAGTTTCCAGTGGACACATGCAATACAGAATACAGTTGAGCCAGCGTTGGGTTTTCAGCAGGCATATACTTGACTTTCAAGGGTGCTGGACCCCCAGATCTGACGGGAGCAGGAAAGAGCAGCACATACCTTAAAGGGCTGGTCCAGCCGAAGTGCTCAGAACTGGCCCCTTCAAATTGGCCAAACATAGAACACCACAGGATGTTCTGGAGGAATGGGACACAACACAGCTGACTCTTGCGAACCTCCAAGGGCTATGTGGAGAATCAGAGTCACGAGGAACTCTGCTGGGGTTGCAAGATGCCAGAGACACGTGAATGTTCTAAGATGGAGACAGGACACTAAGTTAAAAGAGGGTTTTGCCGTGTGCACTTGTTTTACAAGAGCAGGCTGATGCTATACCTCAGAGGCAGGGTGCCTACCTAGTGTGCATGAGTCCCTGGGGTCCCTCAGGCATTATGCATGCTTCCTTCACCATCTTCCTTGTCAGTAGATGTTGCTAGCGTTGAGGCTGGTGGTAGAGGCTGGACCATCACAGTTCCCCTCCCCTCTCTGGGCCTCAGGATCCTTATCTCTTTATCAAGATGAATTTTGGTCTCTATCCAGGCTGCAGGTCTAGCCTTGGCAGAAGAAGGCCTGGAGTATGGCTGCCTCCATCTCTGGAATACTGAAGCAGAGAGTCACACGTCCCCACTGCCCAAATAGGCGTCCCTTCCCAGTCTCATCTGCCCAGTGTCCCAGAACAGCAGTGAGCTAGCTGACTGACCTGGAAGTCCCTGTCCTCTGCCTTTGGCCCACAGTGGCCCAGGGAACGATCCTCCCCTCTGCTGCGTGGCAGCAAGAGGGAGGGAAGAGGCTCATCTCCAGCTGGCCAGGGAGATAGGTCTTCTTGTGCCCATGAGCCCCTCCCTCCCCACCAGCCTGTCCACAGGGGCTTGAGATCAGCCAGAAAAGTCAGTCAGCTCACTAGAGCCAGGGGACATGAGGTCTCTTTGCCAGACTGAGTTCCGTCCGTCCCTGAGAGCAGCACAGTGCCCAGCCCCACCCCTTGCTCTGTGCCCCCTCCACTGCCGAAGACTTTGACCTTGTATTCCAGTCCTAGCTGGTGGGCCGAGGGCTGAAGTCAACACTCCCCAGAATCAGGAGTATCCCTGCCAGAAACAGGAACGTGCAACCCCACACCGTTCTTCTCCAGGCACCTGGCACAAGTGGTAAGTAGCAGATGTATGCTTGAGCTGGGGCAGGGAACAGAGCAACGTGGTGTCTTCCCGGGTCAACAATTGTGCTTGGGATTGGAGATACAGAAAAGGACAGGCCAGAAGACATCCTTCAGAGAGGTGGCACTGTGCCCCATGGAGTCAGATGGGAAGGGCAGGTTAAGAATGTCACCTCTCCAAGTCTCAGTTTCCTCCACACTCTCGGTCACAGATGTGTTTGTTTGCTTCTCAAGACAGGGTTTCTCTGTGTAGCCCTGGTTGTCCTGGAATTCACTTTGTAGACCAGGCTGGCCTTGAACTCAGAGATCTGCCTGCCTCTGCCTCCCGGGTGCTGGGATTAAAGGTGTGCACCACACTGCCTGGCTTGGAACACAGACCCTTTGAACAAAGTTCTTTATTATATTATTAATTCATTGATTTGGTATGGGAGAACTCACATATGCCACTCTCTGCATAGGGAGGCCAAAAGAAAACTCTGGGACTAACTTCTCTCCTTCCACCGTGTGGGTCTAAGGAATGAAACAGGTTGTCAGGCTTAATGGCAGGCGCCTTCACCAACTGAGCGAACCATCATGAAGTCTCTGGGATGTGGCACCTTGACTTGTCTTACAGGGTGAATTCAAGACTTAGAAGAGGGATGGATATAAAATTTCTGGTGCTAAACTGTGTCCAAAAAACATACCCTAAAGGGTCTTTATCATTACACCGGGGAGGGGATTTGATTCTCAATAACTTGTTCCAGTTTAAAGAAGAACTGGAAATATCAACTGCACAAGGTATAGCCCAGTAGAGCTGGCTTTTCGGTTTTATTGACCTTTCATGTTATAACAACCAGAGACACAAGCTGCTTCCTCCCATTGCTTACTAGGGGACAAAGGTTATATAAGCAGAGCCGCAGAGGGAAAAGTCAAGGCCGGCTAATCGCTACCTGCTTAAATATTTCTAGAGTGCAGTGAGATACACACAGGCCGAACTGGATGAGGTCTGAGCACATCCCACACAGGCGGTGGGTGTGGCTGTCAGCTGTGCCTCCTCTGCTTCAACTTCTGTCCAGGTTTAGGATGGCAATAGAGGCAATGGCCTCCAGCAGCTAGCTACCCTAAGAATGAAGATTTGTGCTGTCTGCATTGTGCCTTGTGTCTTATTGATGGTGGGACCCAAGTAGGCTCTCCTGTGCTGTGCCTATGTTGACTGTAATCTCTCTGTCTCTCTGCCTCTCTCTCTGTCTCTGTGTGTGTCTCTCTCTGTCTTTATCTGCCTCTCTGTCTCTGTCTGTCTCTGTCTCTCAACCCCTCTGTCTGTCTCTGTTTCTCTCTCTCTCTCTCTGATAAATGCAATAACTCCACTGGTTCATTGTTGAAAATACACACCCAAGCATCCTTGATTGTAGTAATTGGCCATAAAGCAGGAGAATGGCATCACTAGAATAAAAATGTCTGCGACCACAAGGAAACGGTTACGATAGCAGAGCCAAGCACTTGCAGCCCAGACGTTCATCACTGCATGTGTGGATGGTCTTGTCTGAGGCTGGTCCTGCTTCTAATGCGGACCGAGTGCCTTCAATGACAGCTACCTGTGTCAGCGTCAGATGTGATTCATTGATAGCACACGCTTTCCTCTTCCGAGCAGGTTGGGAACTGTTCAGCCTTATCCAGTCAGGTCCAGTGACTTGGCCAGGCTCCCACAATCAGTGCGTGTCAGAGCTGAGCCGAGCTGAGCATGTCTGCCTTGCTAATCCAGCAGACTGTGAGCTTCTATGTACTGCTAGCTGTGTGCTGAGAGCTGTGTACTGTGTAGTATGTGTTGTGTACTGTGTGCTGTATGCGGTGTACTGAGTACTGAGTACTGGGTACTGTATACTGAGTGCTGTGTCCTAGGTACTGAGTACTGTGTGCTGTGTACTGTGCTCTGAGTACTGTATACTAAATACTGTGTACTGTGTACTGCATGCCGTGTGCTGAGTACCTTGTGCTGTGTACTGAGTACTGTGCACTGTGTACTGGGTATTGGTACTGAATACTAGGTACTGCATCCTGAAAGCCTCCAGGCACCATAACAGGAACCACTGAAGAGCCTGGCACTGACTCCTCAAGACAACTGATGAGACTGAGTCACTCCCGTTTTACTAATGAAGTGGTCTTGTCCCCGGGGGTGGATGTGCAGGTGGGGGATGGGAGGTTCTGCTCCCTAAGCCACCAGCACCCAAGTGCAGACTTGAGGCTGCCACCCTCTGTTAGACAACTCAGTCCTCCATTTGGCATCAGAAACCCCAGCAGAGCCCAGCCTTTGTGGCCTGTAGCCATCCCCCCTTTGCAAAACTAGGCCGTATTGAGAATGTTCCGCTGTCCAGGGCCCCAGGCCCGTGTTGCCAAGAGCTGGGGTCTGTGGGAGGCCAGCTGAGTGCAGAGGAGGCGAAGCTGAGCTTGGCCCTTCCGGACACACACAATCCCCTTGTTCTGCCTCACAGGAGCTGGCTGAATGGCGCAAGGTCAAAAGCTGCTAGCATCTGAAGGTGCAGACAGCTCAGTATCCCAAGGCAGGCAGGCCTACCTCTCTGCCAGAAGAGCAAACTCTGAGGGCAAACCCTGCATCGGACATGCACAAAGCTGCATCGGCTAGCTGGCAGCCTGGCCTGCAGTGGGGGTGCAGCAAATGTGTGCTGTGTTTACCTGGTGGCGCTGTGTGTGAGGTGCTCCACCCTTCTGAGCCTCAGTTTTCTTATCTGTAGAGTGGGATTGAAAACAGCAGCCCTGATCACAGACGGACTCAGGAGACTTAGGTATGAGGGTGTATGGAGCTGTAGTTCTGGGGCAGGAGCACAGTAGGGGCTCCCTGAAGGTGGGAGTTGTTTTGCCATTGTTGTCACCCCTGTCCACCCCTAAGGTGTGTTTTACTAGGCTGTAACTTAGTAGCTTGCCCAGGGTTGACAGATAGCAGGGTTAAGCTCTACCATTTGAAGCCAGTACTCCTGACCACTGGACTACCCTGTATACCTACCGGTGGCTGAAACTGAACTTGGTGTGGTACTCAGGGAGCCACCTTGATTATCAGCTGGGTGACTTTTTTTAATTAATTAATTTTTATTTGATGTACATGGATGTTTTGTCTGCATGTGTGTCTGTATGAAGATGTCGGATCCCTGGGTCAGGTGGTACTGGGGTAAGCTGCCATGTGGGTACTGGGAATTGATTGAACCCAGTAATTCTGGAAGAGTAGCCAGTGCTCTTAATGGCTGAGCCCTCTCTCTAGGCCCTCAGCTGAGTGACTTAAGGCCTCTGCACACCTCAATGCTTCTACTTGCAAAATGGGAACATTGAGGATGGAAAGGCAGCCAAGAGTTAAAAGCATGCACTGTTCTTCCAGAGGACCCAAGTTCAGGTTAGGGGGCACACAACCACCAGTAACCCCAGCTCCAGGGAATCTGATGCCCTCTTCTTGCCTCCACTGTCACCTTGCACTCAGGGGCACACACACACACACACACACACACACACACACACACATAAACCTTTTTTAAAAAAATCGGGAGACTACCTCTTGCATTCTAGAATCTTGGACTCTTGGTCGTCACCAATGGAAGGGGCTCAGGAGTGAGTCTGGTGCTTTCCAAGCCATCAGGAGCCCACACTGATGGTGGTGATGACGGGTTCTCTCAACCCACTCTCTCCTCCTGCAGGCTGGTGAGATGCGTGTGGTCGTGATTGGAGCGGGAGTCATCGGACTGTCCACTGCCCTCTGCATTCATGAGCGTTTCAGCCCTGTGCAGCCACTGCACATGAAGATCTACGCAGACCGCTTTACCCCATTCACCACTAGTGACGTGGCTGCGGGCTTTTGGCAGCCCTATCTCTCAGACCCCAGGAACCCTCAGGAAGTGTGAGTTGGGGGTCCCATGTCGTGGTCTGGGGGTCCATGAAGCTGAGCTCCCCAGAGGGAGGATTTATCACAGACCTCATCACCAAGGACAAGACTCTTGTGGAAGCTTTGACCTGGCAACACGTGTCCCAGGGCATGCGGGTACAGGGGAGTGGGTTATAAGCTTGAGGTCAACAAGCGTGATACAACAAGACTTAGATTAAAACCTGAACAACCAGGCAAGTGCACCTACCTGTCAGCCTGTCACCCAGGAAGCAGAGGAAGAAGAACCACTGCAAGCTGGAGACTAGCCTGGTCTAAAGTTCTGGGCTAGCCACGAGTACATAAAGAGACTCTGTATTTTAAGAAAGTAAATAAATAAGTTAGGAAGAATCAAATAATAAGAAATAACGAGCTAGGCAGCAGACATAGCTGGGGTTCCTGATCCTACAAAAGACATCCTGGGCATTGTTGATCCCATCTAGCAAGAATCAACCACTACCACAGATTTGGAGCCAAACCTGAAGCAAGCATTTTGTTTTGTTTTTTTATTTGTTTGTTGTTTTTGAGATAGAGTTTCTCTGTGTAACAAGCCTGGCTGCCCTGGAGCTCACCCTGTAGACCAGGTTGGCCTCGAACTCACTGAGATCTACCTGCTTCTGCCTCCCAAGTGCTGGGATTAGAGGTGTGCACTGCCACCGCTGCCACCACCACCCAGCAGAACCAAGCATTATTAGATACTGGCCAGGATGATGGACACTGGCCATGTCCACACCTGGGATTCCCAGAGAATTTCCCCAGATACCCTGATGTACTTCCTGCCTTCGTGTGATCAAGTTGGGGCAACCAACCTTGCTTACAGACGTGAAAACACATGGGTTGTTCATCTTCCACGGACAAAAATAAAAGTTATCTGTCCTTAGGCAAGTGGGGCTTACAGGTTAGAAGCATTTCTGCTTTATAGATCTCTTAAGCACCGTAATTTAGACTTAAAGCATAAATCAGCTCTCAAAGGCATCACCGCAGGTCTGTCTCTGAAATTGGAGCCAAGAGTGGCTGGCTAGGGAGAAGACTCAGAAGGCAAAACTTTTGTCACTCAAGTCTAACCATCCGGGCCCTGAACCCCAGAACCCACTTTCAAGCTGAATCTAGTTACTCACATCAATGATCCCAGGCTGACCTGGTTGGGGAGACTCCAGGAGGACACCAGAAAATCACCCAAAACTCCCAGCCCAGCTATACCAGAGCACATAGCAGCAAACAAGGGGGAAGATGAGGGCAGCACCCAAAGCTGCTCTCTGAGCTTTCCGTGAGGGCCACAGCAGGTGCGTGTGAGTATGCACACACCGGAAATAAATACATACATACATACATACATACATACATACATAGCACTAGTGATCGTCAAAGGTCCATTCTGTGCACTGGGACATTTGCTGTTCTTCCTTAAGCTGGGTGGCTCTCAATGCCACAGCATTGATGCATCCAGAGAGCTTCAAATGCGGAGGATCCAGGAAGCTGACTGAAGAAGATACGGAAGGTTATGATGTGTGCTTAGCAGCTGACAGGTGTCAACAGTGAACCCCCAGTGGATGACATCATGGAGACCCTAATGCTCACTCCTGTCAAGAAACTCTGAAGCCGTGTGTCTATCAATGGTATTGCTTCTAGCTTGTGCTCTTCCTCCTCAAACACAGTTCCCAAGGTCAATTACAAAGTTGCTTCCAATGTTTCTTTCTTTTTTTTTGAGACAGGGCTCATCATGTAGCTCTGGAACTCACTAAGTAGATCAGGCTAGCCTGGAACTCACAGAGATCTGCCTGCCTCTACCTCCTGCTAGGGTTTTAAAAGTGTGTGTTCCTACACATGGCCTTGATGTTAGCTTCTTGAGGACCAATAAATATGGAGAGAACTAAGGACCCATCACAGAGGCTTTGGCCAGCACAGAATTGAATGGCCCTGCCTGACTGGAATAGAGCCTAGGAGCTGTGTGCCTGAAGACAGCAAACCCGTGTCCACCCCGCCATGCCCACAGTGGGGGCTCGGCTCCAGACTGCACCCCGCCATGCCCACAGTGGGGGCTCGGCTCCAGACTGCACCCCACCATGCCCACAGTGGGGGCTCTGCTCCAGACTGCACCCCACCATGCCCACAGTGGGGGCTCTGCTCCAGACTGCACCCCACCATGCCCACAGTGGGGGCTCTGCTCCAGACTGCACCCCACCATGCCCACAGTGGGGGCTCGGCTCCAGACTGCACCCCACCATGCTCACAGTGGGGGCTCGGCTCCAGACTGCACCCCACCATGCCCACAGTGGGGGCTCGGCTCCAGACTGCACAGTTCTCAAAGCCTTCCCAGTGTGAGTGTGCTCCTCAGGGGTGCACTTTAGAGATTCTTTTCTTCCTGATTTTCCATCTGGGAAGCCAGGTGTGGGAGCACTATTTGGAGCACTAAAGGAGTGAGCCCCATGGATGACTGGGTTTTGCACACATTCCTGCCAGCCTCACCACAATGCTGACCTGAACAGTTCTGCCCAGGGCATTGAGTGATCAAAACCCTGGTGCCATTTTTGTTAGGAAAGAGACCAATATTCCAGGTGAAGTGTCTGGCCAAGGCAAGCCTTATCTTGATTAAGAGTGTGTACTCAGAAGACCAAACACACAGAGACAGGAAGTGCATTCAATTTTCATTCTAACTCAAATGGTGAATATGTCTTTTCCCAACTGACTAGGGTCCAATGTCTCATTCTTCTTTCTTTTTTCTTCTCTTCTTTTCGTGTGTGTGTGTGTGTGTGTGTATGTGTATGTGTGTGTGTGTGTGTGTGTGTGTTGTTTTTGTTTTTGAGAAAGGGTTTCTCTGTGTAGCCCTGGCTGTCCTGGAACTCACTCTGTAGGCCAGGCTGGCCTCGAAGTCAGAGATCCACCTGCCTCTGCCTCCCGAATGCTGGGATTCAATTGGGTAGTCTAAAATTGGTGCACAGGAAACAAAGGGGGAAGGGGAGAGGGGTTTCAGCTCCAACTCGTCAAATTTCTTCAAGGTCTTACAAGGTGGGAGCTAAACAGATTTTAATTCCTTGACCCAAACTCAGGTTTTTATAGCAGTTGGTAGAAGAGACTCACATGTGGTAATTCTTACACTTCCAGGGAGTGGAATCAGCAAACCTTCGACTACCTGCTGAGCCATATCCATTCTCCAAATGCTGAAAAAATGGGCTTGTCCCTAATCTCAGGCTACAATCTCTTCAAAGAAGAAGTTCCGGTGAGCCAAGTGTCCTTGACCTTGAGGGTGATAAGCTACCGTGCAGAGAAACTGTAGAGTTAGGCCACTGTAGGTAGAAAGAAAGGTTTATGGGGGGGGGGGGGGCAAATTGCCCAGGCTACCTCTTGGAAATATCAGGGAGATAGAGAGAAGAGCAAAATGGGAGAAAAGCAAACAGATTCTATGTCAGCGGGGTAGGGGTCTGGCTGATACAGGATGTAGGATTGCCCTTGTCCGAGGTAGCTGACTTTTGAGGGGGAGTTTAGGGAAGGTTCCAGGAGGATTAGGGTGTTCCCTATTCTGCTTTTCTAATGAACAGTAACCCACCTTTAGGCTTGTTTACCCAGTAACAATCCATCTTCTTACCCCACCAAAGTCCTCTGTTTAGGACAATGTCACCAACACTGCCATTTGGGTGGATGGGTAGGTGGGTGAGTGGGAGATTTGGTGTCCTAATGGGGACAGATGGGGCTGGGACCTTGAGATGGGAGAGTATTCAGAGGTCACAGACTCAGGTTAAAATTAGATTTATTTTTTATTTACTTATTTTAGTGGGGTTGAGGATCAGCATTTTGGCATCCTAGGCAAATATCACTGAACTACACTCCAGCCTCAGGTCCACTAAGACCGTTTCTCTCTCCTGGACTTTGCTCCACCGTTTACTCTGATGCTAAGTGGAGTGAGAGGCATAGACTTGAGCCTAACTGTGTGAGTTCAAACCTTGGCTCTACCTTTTAGCTATGCGACTTCAGACAAGTTACTTGACCTCTCTAGGGTCATTTAGCCTGTCCGTAAGGGTTGCACAGTGTCCACCTCAGTGGCTGGTTGTAAAGATCAAACCACTGAGCCAGATAAATAAATGCCGCCTAATAGGTTTTCTGTAACTCGATAATAGGTTTTGCCCCCAAAACAGTAAACCAGATCAAGGCAAACTGAAAAAGCAAAAGAGCAGGTATATTTGAGCAAAGCAACTCCTGGTGAGTCCTCCAGCCCAAGATACAGGGGCCAGTGAAGTCACATGGCCAAACTATAACAGGAAGCATATATACCCTGTAGGCAAGAGATGATGACTTGTCCTCCATAAGCTGGGTTTGTGCCCAAGTATGGTCAAAGCTGACTGCTTTAGACAGGGTCTTGGGCTATTGGCAGGAGATGCAGCCACCAAGAATGCAGAACTGGGCTTTTTGTTGCCTTTTCTTTGTTGGAGATTCTCTGATAGGGTGGGGTTTGGAGAGAGAGGAATAGGGCTTTCCAGATCAAGCAGAAGTGAGTTGGGGGGGGTTCCAGCCAAACACTGCTGACTATCTGTCACCCAGCAAGCATTCCGTGAGTTCCTGTTATCCTATCTCTGTGAGCCCATCTCTGCTTCCTCCTCAGGACCCTTTCTGGAGGAACACAGTTCTGGGATTTCGGAAGCTGACCCCCAGAGAGATGGACATATTCCCTGATTATGGGTAAGATCTCTGTCATGGGCAGAGACACTGGAGCAGGACAGTTGAGGCAGGACTGTCTAGAGGGTAGTCAAGAACGGAAGCAGCAGTTTGCTATCCCCTCTCAGTCCTAGAGTCGCTGGTACCTTGTCCTTCTGATGTCCAGCCCCTTAATGGGCTCCAGGTGCACTGGGCTTTGGGCCGAAATATCCATCAATTTTGTATCCATGTGATGAAATACTAGACACAAGCTACCCACGAAAAAGGCGTATTTTAGTTCACGAGGGTGCTTGTCACCGCTGCTTCCATCACAACCCAAGAAGCAAAGAGAGGGCATGATGGGGACCCACAGTGGCCTTTGAAGGAAGCGCATGGTGGTTTGTGGATCCTCCCTCACCCTGACCTTCTAATCCCATCACCTCTCACTGCTGTCACCTCAGAGACCAAGCCTGCACACGTGGCCTTTGAGGGGCGCTCCACATTTAAACCACAGCACTCCACGTTGTCAAACCACTCTCTCAAGTGAGGAAACAGAACCTCAGAGAGGCTAAATGACTTCCCAGGGCCACACAGCCATGTGCCCACACTAGGATTCCAGCTCAGACTGTGAGGTTTCACACTGCCCCCCTCTGGTACTCTCCTCACCCAACCCCATTCCCTATATCCCAGGATGCCATGGTTGGATGGGAAATTGCTCCTTGCATTGAGCTGAACTCCCACTGTCACCCCACAAATGCCACCTGGTGCCTCAGCTCTAGCCACTAGGGACTCACAGGGAGGTACCAAGCCAACCCTCACATCGCAGGTTCTGATCTCCTTCCCAACTCTGATTCTAGCTACGGCTGGTTCAACACAAGCCTGACTTTAGAGGGGAAGAGCTACCTGCCATGGCTGACTGAGAGGTAAGACCGGAAGCTGCTGTTCTCGAGAAGTACAGGTTCCAGGGACCAAGTTGTGGAAGAGTAGTCAATGCTGACCAATGCTGAGGAAAATCCCAGGGTGCCGTGTAGGAGCTGTCCCTGGTCCTGATCACCACCGTGGGCTGAGGCAAAGGTTCTGAACCCCACAAAGCATCAAGCCATCTGGGCAGATTTCTTTTTCTTTTTCCTCTCTCTCTCTCTCTCTCTCTCTCTCTCTCTCTCTCTCTCTCTCTCTCTCTCTCTCTCTCTCTCTCTCTCTCTCTCTCCCTCCCTCCCTCCCTCCCTCCCTCCCCTCCCTCCCTTTCTCTCTCTCTCTCTCCCCCCTCTCTTCCTCTCCCCCCCCTCTGGTTTTTCAAGACAAGGTTTCTCTGTGTAACAGCTCTGCTATCCTGGAACTCGCTCTGTAGGGCCTCAAACTCACAGAGATCTGCCTGCATCTGCCTCCCGAGTGCTGGGATTAAAGGTATGAGTTACCACCGCCTGGCTAGGGCAGATTTTCAACGTCACTCAAGCCTTCATGTTCATGTAGTAGTTTAAAATGTATTTAAATGTTTTTCTAGATATATTTACATCATTTGCATAAATGATCTTTAAAAAATGTCTCTCCCTTTGGTCAGTCAAGAATGAAAGAACCAGTTTGCCATCCCCTCTCAGTCCTAGAGCCCCTGGCACCCTGTCCATGAAAAAGCATAGCCCAGCACAGGTGAAAGCTGCAACCCTGGAGCTTTCGGCCCATCTCAGAGGCAGCTGCATGGAGAATCTCCCCTGGGCTTCTCAGCTGGCCTCCCTTAGCCGGTCATTGCTTGTGTAACTTTGGGGGAGGGACCTCGTGAATCTTGTGTTTCACCTTCCAAGTCATGTGACATTTGTTGGTTAACTTCGTCAACTTCGTGTGTCTCAGGAGTCTTGCCAGCTCTTGCTAGGAGGGAATGTCACAAATCTGAGGAAATTGCAACACAGCAAACCATGTGGTGACAATAACTACTCTTGTCCTTGTGACATTGTGACACCTGACCAGCCTCTTCCCAGGTGTTTCATCATGAAGAATTTATTTAGTTAGAACTCCTTTTGAGAGAACCCTTTGAACAGTTATGGTTTCTGGCTCTTTTGATGGGGTTTTTTTTTCTTTTTTTCATTCTTTTCTTTTTCATTTTTTTCAAGACAGGGTTTCTCTGTATTGTTTTGGAGGTTGTCCTGGAACTTGCTCTGTAGATGGAACTTGCGCTGTAGACCAGGCTGGCCTCGAACTCACAGAGATCCACCTGCCTCTGCTTCCTGAGTGCTGGGATTAAAGGTTTTGATGTGTTTTCAGTGCTGGGATCAAACCCAGGGCCTCACATAGTCTGGACAAACATGCCACCACTGTGCCCTTCTCTGGACATTCACATTCAAAGATACAGATGGGTGTCCCCAGGTACCCTGTCTCTGGTGTCATGCTCTGACAAAGGTGCATTTGACACTGATCCAACTCTGCCTCTTCTCCCCAGCCCCCTAAAGTTTGTCCCTTTGATATAAAGTGATATGATGGCAGCAGAATGAAATCAGAGAAAGAGGCCTGGGTCTGAGTCCCACTCTCTCGGTGCACAGCTCACTCCGTGACTTTTAGGAAGACCCTTCTCCATCTCTCAGTGAGGGGTCAGGGCCTCCAGGAAGATCTTGTTTACAAAAGAATGCTTTTCAGGCCACTGGTCCAACCCGGTGTCCATGAACTGAATGACTACATGGGGGCATCTCATGGGGCTATGTCCACAGGAATGTCCCCTGTGCTGCCCTCTAGGAGAAGTGAGTTTGGGGCTGTTCTGATGTGTCTTGTCATCCCAGGTTGACAGAGAGGGGAGTGAAGCTCTTCCATCGGAAGGTGGAATCTTTTGAAGAGGTGAGTGGCCGGGGTGTGAGGGGATGGGCGTGGGAGGGAGGGAGGTAAGATGTTTCCTGTTTCTGTGTGGGAGACCCCTTCTTAGACTCAGGGTCCCTGCAGGCCTGCCCTAGGAGGCCGCGGGCATTCTGGGGGAGGAGGTATCTGCCTTGATATTGGTTGTAAGAAGGGAACAATGGGATCACTGGGGTCAGACAGGGCTGTTTCTGTCTGACCCTAGGTGTGTTTTAGAGTCAGCAACACTCTTCCCTAGAGTCAGGTCTACTCCACTCCAAGGTTCAGATCCTCCCATGCCTCCCACTGACATCTGGGTTGACATTTCTGTAATGCCCCGGCACTCAGTGATGAGATCAGGGCCACCACACCCTGCCAGCTCAGCTATGTGACTTCATTTAATCCCAGAGAGCAGAATAACATTCGGCACAGACAAAGCTCATCATATCCACTGAGCTCCTTGAGGTCAGGTCTGGCCCCTGTGGACACTTGGGCTCTGAGGTTGATTCTGACAAAACTCCCCTTCCCTGTGGCTCTAAGACAGAACACACTTAGCAGTTTATGTGTTCATGATGGTCTTGGGGCGGGGGCTTACCAGGGATGGGCTGGAAGCACGGGAGTGCTTACTGTGTCTGAGTTGACAAGTGTTTCAGGCATAAGTTGAGCCAAAGCCAGCATCCTGGCAGAGAGAAGGCAAGATTATGGGCTCTAAAGGTTCTGATGGAGGATGGCTTAATGTGAACGTTTCTTTAAGGTTTTAGGACAGTTCTCCCTCCATAGTACTCTCTATCCAGAAGTCTCTCCTGAGGGTCACACGGGATCCTCACAGTAGCCTGGCAACATTATTGGCTTTGCTAGAAAATGACTGTCAGCTGGGATGCGGTGGTGCATACTTTTAATACCAGCACTTGGGAGGCAGAGGCAGGTAGTGAGTTCAAGGTCAGCTTGGTCTACAGAGCACAGTCAGGGCTACATAGAGAAACCCTGGAGAGAGAGAGAAAGAGGAAGAGAGAGAGAGAGAGAGAGAGAGAGAGAGAGAGAGAGAGAGAGAGAGAGAGAGAGAGAGAAGAAAATTATTATCAAATGAGAGCAGAGAGCATTTGAGCCTCAAGGAGCTAAAAGGAGTCCCTTAGCCAGAGTCCCTGGATCTCCAGCACACCTCACCCCAGTTCCCCAGGAAGCAGACAGCTGTGGTGTGTCACCCCAGTTCTCCAGGAAGCAGACAGCTGTGGCGCATCACCCCAGTTCCCCAGGAAGCAGACAGCTGTGGCGTGTCACCCCAGTTCCCCAGGTGTAAGAGGCTGGAGTGGGCAGAGCACAGCCCAGTCCTCACTCCTTCCCATCCCTTGACTTGTTCTTGCTGCTAGGTGGCAAGAGGAGGCGCGGATGTGATTATCAACTGCACTGGGGTGTGGGCTGGAGCGCTGCAAGCAGACACCTCCCTGCAGCCCGGCCGGGGCCAGATCATTCAGGTGAGACGCTGTGGTCAATGGAAAGCTGACCCTGCCTGCCCCCGCCACTCCAAAGGTGGCGGACGGTTCTGTTGAGTGACTCCAACCTTTGAGGAGGTGACTTACTGAAGACATAAGTACCGACCTACCCCCTGCACCTCAAATGTTCTGATCTGGAATTTCTTCTCCATAGCAAAGTGCATGTGGTTGTTTTCCCCATGAGGGAGCCATAGCACAGGCCTGGGTTATAAAGAAAACGGGGAACCTTTATGAAGTGCTTATCAAGTGCCAGATATGAACTTAAGTATTTACTGAATTGATCATTTAGTCCTTACCACAGCCTTTGAAATGGTCCTGTCATATCACACAACCACTTAACTGAAATACAGAGGTGTCAAGTAACGTGTACAAGAATGCACAACAGAAAATAGTGATTAGAGGCCAGGTTGACTGCTCCATGGGTGTCACCATTGTCCCATGCCTCTCATGATGTATGGGGACATATGTGTACATGCTTGCCTATTTGTGGGCACGCTGATGGGTATGGCCATATGCATGTGTGAATGTGCATCTGTGCATTTACATGTAGGCAGGTATGTGTGTGTGTGTTCCTTGTTCTGGCTGGTGTGTGTGTGTGTTATCTCCTGTGACCTAAGGCTTTTCTATAGACATGTAGTGAGGACCAGGGATACTCCAGGGAGCAAAGGGAGCTGACTGTAAGGTTACCCTCCTGCAGTCTTGGGCCAGGGGGTCATGAGAAGTCTGACCACTGAGGGGAACACACTAAAGGTAATTTCACTGGTCTCCCTCCCTGACAAGATATGTCTGCCTTGAATCAACAGGTGGAGGCCCCTTGGATGAAGCATTTTATCCTCACCCATGACCCACGCCTTGGCATCTACAACTCCCCATACATCATCCCAGGGTAAATCTATGACTCGTGTAAGATCATAGAGGGGACATTTTCATGGCCTCTTAACACTCCATCCACCTGTTTTTATAAATGGGCTTAGGCAATGAAATCCCTGGGATGGTGGGATTCAGCCTTAATTGAGCTTTATCTTGAACATTCCTTTTGGTGGCAGGCATAGTAAAGCCAGGACAAAGATCCTGGATACACAGGCAATGACACCAAAAGTGGTTAGAATGGCAGCAGGGGGAAGAGCAATTTTGTGATGGTGTTGATAATGTTGGCCATGGAGGTGATGGCATTCATGTGGCAGAGCTGAGGGGATGGCAAGACTGTTGGTGTTGAATGACAGTAGCCTGGCTATTGACGGGGAAAGACAGAACTGATTGGGGTGTTGACAGGCATGGGGTGTTAAAGTGGCAGTGTTAAGGAGGTCAGCATCATCGATGGTGCTGATGATGGTGGAGATGACAATGTCATGGTGGTGTTGCTTTGGTGGTATACAAACGGTGATGGAGTTGACGTTGATGACAATGCTGGTCATGTGCTACTGACTTCACAAGACTTCTGGGGATCTGGGCTCAGAGCCTCACTGCTGTGCTACAAATGTTTTATGCGCGCACCTCCCCCACCCAGACATCTCCTTTGTTGATAGAGATGACAGAAGAGTTGGCAATGATGACGCCGGGGATGGGTGGCACAGTGGGTTGATGAGGTCACGATGGCGTGGGCTGTGTTTAGCGGGGATGGTCATGCTGACAAGAACGGATGACTCAGTGGAGATGACAGTGAGGGAGGAGGAGAGGGAGAGATGCCTCCATCTGCCAGGATTCATTTTCTTTAGCCCTCTTCATTCTGATCGAGGTCCAAGACAGTTACTCTCGGAGGTGTCTTCCAGCTGGGGAACTGGAATGAATTAAACAGTGTCCATGACCACAACACCATTTGGAAGAGCTGCTGTAAACTGGAGCCCACCCTGAAGGTGAGGAGTGTCAGTGCCCTAGACCAGGGCAGCCTGGTCCTGACGCAAGGATAGTCTATTGGGATAAGTGGGCAGGTTAGCCCCACAGAGAGACTGGAGAATACAGCAGCATTTGACAGTGTTCAGAGAAGCCCTTGCTATGGGCTAATGACGCATAACTGGCCCTTCATAGGGTGGCGTCTTAGTGTTTCCACAGAGAGCAGGTGTACTTGATGCATATACGCCTCCATTTTCATGTTTGCCTGATCATGTGATGCTGACAAGATAGTCGGGAGGCAGTGTTGGGGTTGGTGGTGACACGGCTGCAGTGTCGGTGATGGTGACACTGTGGACAGCGGCTGGGGTGACTGCGGTCATTGATATGGATGAGCTAATGTGAGGTGGTGGGTGGCAAAGGAGATAGCTCAGGGGATAAAGGGCTTGCAGCATAGCAGTGAGGACCTGAGCCCAGATTCCCAGAACTCATGGGAAGGAGATACAGCCGCACAGGGCTGTAAGCCCTCACTCCTATGGTGATGTGGAAGGTGGAGACCAGAATTCCTCAGGCTTGTAAGCCAGCTGGCCCAGTACATGTAGCAGTGAACAGACCCTGTTTCAAACGAGGTGGAAGGTGATGAGTGACATGTAAGGTTGTCCTCTGACCTCCACTGTGGCATGTATACACCTGCATATCACACACACACACACACACACACACACACACATGCACACACACAGTGTGTGGGGGTAACTGGTAACTTGTGATCAAATAGTGTGCTGACTAATGAAGGGGGTGGCATGAGATTCCGAAAGCTAACTCACAGCTACCTAGAATGTCAACAGAAGAAATGATCTAGGTAAGTTTCCAGCATTTCTCCCCCCAGAATGCAAGAATCGTTGGGGAACTCACTGGCTTCCGGCCGGTCCGGCATCAGGTTCGGCTAGAAAGAGAGCAGCTTCATTTTGGATCTTCGAGTGTTGAGGTGCGTTGGGCCAAGGGAAGTGATGCCTGCCCCAGCTCCAACAATAACCCTGCCATTTCCTAGGAAAAGTCATTGCCTGAGATCAGGTGGTGGCCACCCCCACCCATAAATGGGGACACTGAGACCTGAGGTGGGAAAGGACTGAGTAGAGAGAAATGGGGTTTTATACCAGGTGACAGGACAGACTCGTGACCTTCCTAATCCACCCTGAAGCTCTTCGGATAGGAACAGCTTTCTCTGCCCTCCTGAGAAAACAGGACTGCCATTGGTGGTGATGGCACTTGCTTAAGTTTGACAACTGGTGACAGGCAGGGCTGTGTGTATAACCTGAACTTCACTAGAGACATTTCTAGGATGCTCACTTGGTGACTGTGCCACTATCTTTCTGGAGGAGCTCTTCTTGGGTCACCTCACCAGGGGTGGGAGCTGAGAGCATGGAATCCATTGGTTATTCTGTCCCAAAGGGAAGGAGCTGGGCAAGTGTGGGCTGTACCAAGGTTAGCTTTCTCCTCTTATCTCAGACAGATAGGGGTGTGTGGAGGGGTATGTGTGTGACCATTGTGCATGTGTAGACAGGGGCACAAGTGTAGGTGAGGGTGTACAGATGATTGTGTGTATGAATAATGATCAATGGAACTATGTGGCAGATGTCTCTGCCTTCAAGGTTTCATGGTTCTGCATTTCCTGTACTAGGAGATGAAGCACGAGTCTAGGGTACCACCCTACCCCTCCTCAAATAGTTTCCCTCAAGCTAGTCCCAGGCCCTGCCCAGCATCCTGCCAACACACTGATGGAGCTCATAGCATCTGGTTTAACCAAGTCTTTTCAGAAAGTTCCTAGTCTTCCAGTGTAGCCAAGCTCTCCTGAGTGCCCCCTTGATGTCCCTTCCATACCTGGCCACCATCTCTCTTGCTTCTCCCAGGTCATCCATAACTATGGTCATGGAGGCTACGGGCTCACAATTCACTGGGGTTGTGCAATGGAGGCAGCCAACCTCTTTGGGAAAATTCTAGAAGAAAAGAAGTTGTCCAGGATGCCTGCATCCCACCTCTAAGGACTCTAGTGACCATCACTTGCCCCTTGAGGACATCCCAGTACCCTACAGCCAATTAAGTGATAGTCTCCTTGCTGATTCTTCACTCCCCGCTCCCTGGCTTCCTTGGGCAAAGGTGTGAGGTGAGGAAATCCTGGCACTCTGCTCATCCGTCACGGCCTGGTCCTTCCCACACATCCTATCTGGCTAAGCATCTGTAGGATGGATCCTGGCTGGTCCTAAGCCCATCTATATGAGACAGGCAGCATCTAGGACCATGTAGCAATCCTGTTCTCACAACAGGATGACTGTACTAAAGCTGGTTGTACTGGGTGGCAGGGTCTGGGCTCAGTTCCCTAAGAGGTGGTCCAGAAACTTTTGCTTAGAACTCTGAAGAGTGATTCACAACACACTTGCTGTCTACCAGTAGTGACGGGAGGAGGGGGGACTCCTGCCCTCAGCACTCCATTGGTCAATACTATTAAAACACTCTTGGGATATCCCAACTCTCTTCAGGGTCGATCCTAAGACATGTCTTTCCCTCATTCTCACCACCACGAAGGCCATCTCTGTGGTCTTGAGGAGACTTTATCTAGGTTGTACCTGCATGTGCCAGGGCAGGAGAAGAGGGGAGGGCATAGCTCAGAGCCTTGAGCATAGAAGGTAAGTGCTATACCACAGAGCCAAACCCCGTGCTCTTGAGACCTGAAATCAGAGAGAGAAGTGACCAACCTTGGTACACTGAATATCTTTTTTTTACGTTTGTTAATCTACTGTGTACATGTATGTGGGTGGGAACATCCACGGTCGTGATATGTTGGGATCAGAGGACAACCTGTGGCAGCCTTCTCTCCTTCTACCTGTGGGTTCCAGGGATCAAGCTCAGGGCTTCTGTCTTGGCAGCAAGCGCCTTTACCCACTGAGTCATCTCACCAGCTTACTGAACATATTTTGACATTTTCTGAAATAGAATCTCATGTGGAGAGAAACAGATGACATTTCCACTAATAAACAGACCTTCTGTAACAGGATTGCTTAAAATTAGACCCCAGGCCTCCTGCTCAAAGTCCAGTGGGTTTCTGAGGCAGGAGGCTTTGTGGCAGGCCTTGTACTGCTCAAAAATACTGATCTTTAAAAAAAAGTTTATGTCATTTATGTGTGTGTGTGTGAGTGAGAGAGATCTTGAGACAGGGTTTCTATGTGGCCAAGGTTGGACTTGAACTCAAAATCTTCCTGCTTCAGCTTCTCAGGTATTAGCGTGTGGAATCATGTTCCTGTAAAGCAGAATCTCTGTGTTTCTGTTTCTCTCCCTCTCCTTTGTCTCTATCTTTGTTGTCTCTGTTTCTCCCTCTTTTTGTTGTTCTGTTGTTCTGTCTCTATATGTGTGTGTGTGTGTGTATGTGTGTGTGTGTGTGTGTGTGTGTGAGAGAGAGAGAGAGAGAGAGAGAGAGAGAGAGAGAGAGAGAGAGCACATGTGTGTATGTGTGCATGTTTTGCTTTTAAGGGATCTCATGAAGCCCAGACTGGCCTCAAACTCACCATGTAGCTGAGGATAACCTTGAACTTCTGACCCTCCTTCTTCCCCCCTCCCAAGTGCTGGGATTACAGGTGTATACTTAACTTTAAATTTTAAAACACTTAATGAGTTTATTTTTCTCCCTTGGGTAGAAACAACATCCCTCTTCATTGTAGCCCCTGGAGAACACTCCTGCCTCAACCCCTAACTTCTTCCCCATTAGAGCTGGGTTATTTGAGGGTGAGGAAGTGAAAATGACCAGCTGGATAGAGAGTAAGAAAGAGACAGAAAGAGGGATGGAGAGGGAGGGAGGGGAGGGGAGGAAACTGTGGTTGATCTAGGCAGTGATGGAGCCCTAGGGAGTCTGAGATAGGAAGATCAAGAGGGTGGGGCTAGCCTGGGCTACACTTCAGCCGTCTGTCTCAAATATCAATGATGATAATAATGACAGTCAACGAAATGTAAGGGCAGGGGTGAGGGGGGAGGACACCAAACTGACCCCATGAAGAAGCCACTGTCTCCTCCCATTAACAGCATTGCCTCCACCAAACTCAAGGTCCCAATACTGCCTACCAGCCGGTGTCCGCACCTCACAGGAGAGGGCATCCTGCCAAAGCACTTCCTCAGACAGACCAAGTTAGCCAATCTGGGAGTGAACTGTCACTAGAACCCTGTGACCAGTGACCAGACTTAGACCTGTAATGTCCGTCACCAATGTTTTAATAAAAGATGATCGCACAACGCACGTTCGGCTTCTTTGCGATGTATGCGTCGAGCAGCTGGGGGTCAGTTTCCTCTGGCCTTCGATGGGGCCTGGCAGTTTCCTTCCTCCCCTGTGTGTTGTTTCCTCCCCGAATCTCGGGAGAAGACTCGTGTGTTCCGGCATCTGGGAGTGCACGTGGACTGCCTGCTGGAGTCCTTCCTCCCGAGGCCAAGACAATGGCTTCCCCTCCCCTATGACATGAGCTTTTCTGATTCTTGAGCCAGGGCATCCTCCCAGGACCTGCTCTGCAGGGCCAGCGCTGCTCTTGACAAAGGGGGCGTGAGAGAGAAGGCAGAGGCAGACCTGCAGTAGGTGCTTCCCCCTGGAGATCCCTCAGCCTGTGCAGCCTTCTTCACAGACCTGAAGCCTGAGTAAACAGGGACTTGCCACTCAGTAGGGCTGAGGAGGGAGCCGAAACAGAGGGCCCAGAAAGGCCTTCGCTGCTGCCACAGAGACTCTGGTTTGAGTTTTCCCCTCAGCTAGGCCTCAGTCTCCAGTTTCCAGGTTGGGGGATGGGGTAACAGCTTTCAGGGGTGATCGCCTGGTGGGCACCTAGCTCTCCCCAGAGACAGCCAGAGACAGTGACTCCAGAGGGAGAAGCCAGATCAGGGCTGCTTGGTTCAAATTTAGATGCACATACATCTGTCTGTTTCTACCCGGCAGGCCCTGGAGAGACGTCTAAAGGGGCCCAGCCAAGGAAGCAGTGGGCATCTCTGGCTCCAGAAAAGCTGCTCGGGCCAGACACTAGCTCACCTTAATTCCAAAGAAAGCCTGAGGCCAGGGCGCAGAAGAAACCTACTGGACAAAATGGCAACTGTCACAGGGGCCTGGGCCCAGACTGTATCTACGGAGATCTTTGGGCGGTGGCTCTCCAAGGGTGAGACTGGGTAACTATATGACACCTGCTCAGCTGGTCCTGAGCGTCCTGGGACCCTCCCGCAGTAGCAGTTTCCCCATGCAGATCCACAGCGATGTATAAACCTTCCCCTACCACAGAGAACCCCCTGGAGTGAATGCTACCCCATTTTCAAGGGGTGGGTGACCCTCGATAAATATGGTCAAACACAGTGAAGACACAAAACCCTGTCAGTCCGCATCACCCCCTTGGGTAAATTCTTGATGTAGGCAGTGACCATAAGTGGCCCAACTGGGCTCTGTCAGCTCCCTAGGCTTTACAACCTCAGAGACCAGCTCAACCCCCAGGGGTTGTTATTCCTGAGAGCCAGAGTTCGACCTGGGGACACCTTCACTGCTGGTCCCTCGGCCAACCATCTCCTGGCCCCACTCCCGGTGGCTAGATTCCTGCAGTCCTCGGCCTTTGGTCTCGATGGGCAAAAAGCAGGAGGCCACGGCAGCCAGGAGGCAGCATCCACTATAGACGGCCAAGGTCAGGTACACGGAAGATTCCAGCATCACCTAGGGAGGGAAGTGGAGGTAGAGAAGAACATCTCAGAGCTACAGGCAGTCCGCATGACTGACAGCTAGCTGAGCATTTCACCCCATTTCACAGGAGAACTGAGGCTCAAGAGGGCAGACAAACCACCAGGTGTGGTGACGATGCACATGCCTAATCCTAGCGCCGAGGGGCTGAAGCCAGAGGGTTGCTGGAGTTCAAGGCTAGCATGGGCTACAGAATAAGACATATCTTGGCAAACAACCTAAGGGACATATTCAAGCTCATATAATGAGGATAGGGCTGAGATTTGAACTCAGGCCAGCTAGGCTTAAGATTCTGTACACAGGCCAGGTGGTGGTGATGCATGCCTTTAATCCCAGCACTCGGGAGTTTAGGGACAAGATAATCCTGCATTCAAGTTAGTCCCAGATATATAGTAAGATCCTGGATCAAAAACCAAAAATCACCACTGGGCAGTGGTGGCACATGCCTTTAGTCATCCGACTCTGTGGTAAGCATCTCACTGACTCAACTCGTCTTTAAGACAATCACATTTAATGATGTGACCTACTCCTTTAAAAAGGTGATGAAGAATGAAAAACTGACTATTTAGACATGGACAAGACTTTTTAGTGGCACACAGACTTGCCAAGCTTGGTAACTCACTCAAATCAGCCAATTCAGAAGAGGAAGACAGACATCGAGTATAAGCTGGTGTTTGTCCTTTGTTCTTTGTGTCAATACCCCACTTTTACCTTGGCTCTGAGCCCTGCTCTCAAACCCTCCTCCCGTCTCCTCCTCCCCAAAGTAGCTGGGACTCCACCCAGTGTATCCAAATCCTCTGGTACCCTCAGGGCCTTCTGCACTGGGAAGAGCTGAGCCTTATCCCAGGCTTGTCTGAGTCCCTGTCAATGACCTTGGGCCCTTTATCCTTCTGAGTTTCTTCCCTCCTGGAGTGGGTGCTACAAAATACTCTCCAGCCTATAGTCACAGCTGGCTGCCTCCTGGATCTGTACTTGGGGCAACACTTGCCTGAGCAATGAACGGAGTAATGAGGGCGCCCACTCTTGCCATGCCGCTGCAGGTGCCCAGGCCTAGGGCCCTCGTTGCCGTGGGGTACACCTGGAATGTCAGTGTATTAGCCAAATGCCATGGGGAATACAGACATTCCTCCCCACTCCCCACTCAGGACAGATGGGACTGACACCCGTGGGAAGGATGGGAAACGGGCAAAGGGGGTGGGAGGCTCACCCAAGGCAGAGAGCATGAGGTTGGCCGTGGGCGGGAGCCCATGTACCTCATTGTTTTTCACTGCGGGGAGATATTTCACAATTGGATTTTCTGGTTAACAATGGTGGGGGTGGGGTGTATACAGAATGCTTGCCTGGCATGGTGAAGCCCTGGGTTCCGACTCAGTGCAGTGGAAAAAGCTATGTAAACATTTCAGTACGGGGAGCTGGACACTATGTGTAACACAGGACACATACACATAATTACTGATTATATATGTGTCTAGCATATGGCTGGTGCTCACTATAAAGTGGATAAAGGGATTAATACTACAGTTCTGTTTTCGTCTGCTGGAGAACTTAAGAGTTCCATGCTGAAGTCAGCAATGGCTGCTCTCCTGCAGGCTCTGTGTGTAAGGATTCGGGCATTATGCTGGCCTGTCCCTGTCACCTGGCAGGATGCACTCAGACAGTAACTCTGGTCAGTCCAGGGTTCCATGACTATGACTACGTAGTCTGCAAGAAGGTGTAAAGGACAAAGGACCACTTTAAAAGAAAGACTTCCGAGAAACCCTGTCTCGAAAAACCAAAAGAAAAAAAAAAGAAAGACCTCCACCCTCTTACGCTGTCTTTCCCGCTGCTCCTCTGAAGGGGCAGACAAGGCTTTTCCTGTCTGCCTCTTCTCTTCTGTCCTCTCTCTGTCTCTGTGTCTCTTTACCTCTTTTCTCCCCACCCCCACCCCTGCTTCCTCCCCTTTCTAATAAAACTTCTCACTTAAGCTCTGTCTGCCTGGCATGTTTGTCCCTCACCCACTGTGGAATCTGCCAAGGTCCCCCTCACGATTTATTATAACAGGGTGTTTATGTCAACCACACATCATGCACCTTCTGCTCCTCCCGAGCCAATAGAAGCAGGGACGTGACACAGATGGGATGCACCACACCCCAAGATGTTTCTGCTTGTGCTGTTCTGAGTGGTTTCATTCTGTTGGAAATGCCGTTGGCCCTCCCGCACCTGTGTCTGGTTTTAAACACTAGTTTTGTTTGTTTCTTATTTTGTTGTCTGAACGTATGTTTGGATGTATGTATGGTGTGTGTGTGTGTGTATGTGCGTGCGCCTTTAGAGGCCAGGAGAGAGCTTCAGAGCCCCTGGAGCTGGAGTTTCAGGCAATTGTGGGTTCTGGGAACCAAACTCAGGTCCTTTGGAAGACCAATGTATGCTCTTAACCACTGAGTTGTCTCTCCAGCTCCTAGTCTGGGTTTTCACAGGCTACACAGAAACCCACCTCTTGGATGGGTTGTCACCTATTCAGCTAGTTTTTCATGGTTACCAACAGTCAGCTGGCTGAGGTTTAGCCAGGCTTAGAGAACTTGAAAGCTCTTGTTGTTTTTCTTTTCTTTTTTCAGTACTGGGGGTCAAACCCAGGGCCTTGAGCAAGAAAGGCAAACACTATACTTTAGCACTGAGCTGCCTGCCCAGCTCGCAAACACTGTAGCAGGTTGTCTCCAGGAAGGGAGGATGTGGGCCCTGCCCCATTTGCATTGGCTCTACACACACTTAGGCAACCTCTGGAATTTTACACTGGGCTTGAAGCTTGTGTGAGCAGAAAAAAGAGTAACTGCAAAGTAAGTGGAAGTAATGAGGGAGGCTGGTGCCACCCAGACCCTAGAACAATTGATATGCTGGTCAGACAGCACCCCATGTCCCCACCCCACTCTCAGGCACCTCTCCTACCTCAGGCGTGTAAACATAGGCCGCTTGGAAGCCTCCAGAAATAAATGCTCTTGCAATGAAGAGTAAGAGGGTGAGCATGTTTCTGGGGAGGAGAAAACAGCAGGTAAGGGTTATTTTCTGTCTCATTCTCTCCTCACAATGCCACCTTCTCAGGAAGAATTGATGCCTGAATCAGCAAACGTTCCCTGACCGAGCACATCTGCACATCGGCACAGACTTACCTCTAAGTAGTGTCACTAAAACTCTGCTCTCAGGTACACTGTTCTCTACCCAGCACCCCGGCTACAGATGGGAATGCCTGTGGTACGCAGCTCGGAGTGGGGAAACAGTCTGAATGGTTGAAATCCCAGGGCCGAGGCTCAGTGACAGAACACTTGCTTAGCATGTGAGAGGCCATGGGTCCCAGCAGGACCATATGTGGCATTGTTAGGGCATTCCCCATCCTTTGATGATCCAGATTTCCAAACCTTCAAGGTCTAAGCCCCATCTCTCCTTCCTCCTATGGTCCACTGATTCCTTGACAGGATTTGTTTGGGGCCCTTCATGGTTCCTGTCTATATTCAGGGCCTCTTAGGAGTTGTAAAACTAGAGAAATGTATCTTCAGTAGGGTCTGTTGGAAACAAGGTCTATTTCCATCTAACACCACTTTAACACATGCACAACTTCTGTGGCCACTCCGTACTCTTGTTTGGGGAGGTCGTGGTGTGGTGACTGGGATGAGAAAAGTCCCCATAGGCTCATCAGGGGGTGGCGTGTCAGATTATGGGTAAGCCACAGCTGCGTGGCAATACATAGATTAATATAAATAGGTCAATAATTAAGACAGAGCTAGCCAATAAGGAGCCCTAGCTATCAGCCAACAGTTTATAAATTATTATAAGTCTTTGTGTGTTTATTTGGGGCAAAGCAACTATGGGACCAGGCGGGACAGAAACCTTCTTCAGTGGCACTACTTGAGGGGGATTAGGAGGTGCAGCTGTGCTTGAGGAAGTGTGTCACTAGGGGTGGGGCTTGAGGTTTTAAATGCTCAAGCCAGGCCCAGCATCTCTTTACGTCAAACTCTCAGCTCCTTCTCCAGCACCATGTCTGCCTGCATGCCACCATGATGACAATGGACTAAACCTCTGGACTGTTAGCCAGCTCCAATGACATGTTTTCCTGTATAAGCATTGCCGTGGTCATGGTGTCTCTTCATGGCAATAGAACACATGGGAACTATAAACTTGAAATTCTTAGAAATAAAACTGAGACACCCGCACACAAGGTCCCTTGCTGTCCCAGCGGAGGCTTTGACCTAGGGCTTTGACCTTGAGTTTGACTATCTGTCTGTCATGAAGTGCCATGAGTCCTGGTGAGGGGCTGGGGTTCCTCCTGATACCCACCTTCCAATGCAGATGAACAGCAGGAGGCTGCAGAGGGAGAAGATGACGAAACACAAGGCCATGGTCTTCTTGCGCCCCAGGCGGTCGATGACCCACAGAGTCACGAGGACGCCTGGCAGAGAGCAGGGACAAGGTAGGTAGCTTCTCAGCTGGTTCCTAATGACCAACCCTACCTCATCTTCCACCCTTGAGAGTGAACCAGCCCAGCTGAACCCGTGAGCTCCCGGTTCAGGCCCAGCCCAGCTTTCAGACAATACAACAGATTCCTGGCCAATGCCTGCTGTGTCTGTGTGAGAGTTGATGAGGCAGGGGACCTGGGAAGCCACTTACAGGTCCCTGATCTGGTCACAGCAACCAGGAGACAAGTGTGTACTATTCTGAGTCTCTAAGGGAAAGGGGGATGTGTTGTTAGAAGGAGCGAGCCAGAGCTGGAGAGAGGGCTCAGAGGTTAAGAGCACTGACTGCTCTTCCAGAGGTCCTGAGTTCAATTCCCAGCAACCACATGGTGGCTCACAACCATCTGTAATGAGATCTGGGGCCCTCATGCTGAGCTCTGCCAGCAATAGGACATTCAGTGTCTAAAGCCAAGTCTTACAAGACCTTGGGACAAGGGTGCAGGATCAAGGTGGTGTTGTCTGTGGAGGTAACCCAGGCAAGCTCCAGCTGAAGATGGTGCACTGAGGACTCTGTTTAGCCTTCCCTGAGCAGAATGAAATGGCAGAAAAATGGAAAGTGGTAGGAGGTAGGAGCGGAGCCAAAAGGATCACGGGCTACCTTTAGTCCCTTTAATAGGTATTTGGCACTGGTTCAGCACTGGATTCGCCATTGTCCTTTTCAGGCAGGGGGAGGAAAGGAGGAAGGGAGGGACTAAGGGAGGGAGGCAGATCATCTTTGAATGGTGTTCAGGTTTGGAAGCTTAATGACCTCCACCAGAACCAGGTCTTTTCCAGTGCATCCAGTGATGGGAGGGTGGGGTAGCGAGATCTCCATGGCTCTGATCTCTGTGCAAGCCCTGAGCTGCTTTTCTGTTCTACATTGTCATTTAAAGATTGTTTGTACAACCAACAGTCTTAGAGGGACGGTAAGGACACTATCCTCCCTGGAGCAATGGCAGAGGGATCTGGTAGCCAGTTATAAAGTTCCGGGCTTCCTGAGCTTGCGGTTTCTCAGTGCTGTGGTTTGGACATGGTTTGAGTATGTCCCCCAAGGAATCATATGTTGGGAGCTTGGCCCTCAGTGTGGAAGGTGGCTATGGCCGCTGTCTCTCTGACTTCTTGTCCCTACTCTCATGGGCTCTCACTGCAGGGCTACCATCTCCTGGAAGGTTCTGGTCAGAGCCAAGCAAATGCTGGCACCCTGCCGGTTAGCTTCAGAGCTGTGCACTAAATATACTTCTTTGTATATTTCATAACAGGGTAGAGATTCCCATACACCTGCACTGCAGATCTTCTGCCTGGACCTTCCTTATCATGGTTGCAGACTGGGGCAGTGGGCTCCGGCATCAATATAGGGCAGAGCTGCAGTAGGGTTCTTGTGATAGTGAGTGACTGCTTGCAGCAATAGCCCAGGAGTCTTGCTCCTTAGACAGAATGCTTGAAACTAGGCAGCCTGACTTGTTAGCCTTCGTTATCTGGAACGTGTAGCAAAGAGCTAGAAAAAGAAAACCCTCAGGGCCTGCCTTTTTTTTCTTTTAAATCCTAAATAGATGGTAGGCTTTCCCACTCTAGTCTCACCTGGGAACTCAGACAGGGTGGTCCACAGTAGGTCCATGTAATCCTCCTTGCTCAGATATTCACAGGCCAAGCTGCATTTGGCTTCCACTGCCTTTTTCCGGCTGGAGACTAGGATGGGGAGAGAGGAGCAGGGATGGTCACACAGCCTTGTACCACAGCTTCCTGCACCCTAGCCCTCTGTTGTAGAAATGACTTTAACTGTGTAAAGATATGTTATATTTGTTTATGCTGTGGAATATTACCTTAACTGTGTAAAAGTATGTTACATTTGTTTATGTTGCATTTGTTTAATGATGTAAAGATGTGTGACATTTGTTTACGCTTCATTTGTTTAACAATATAAACCATGTGTTACATTTGTTTTCACTACATCTGTTTAATTATGTAACGATGTGTTGCATCTGTTTCACCTTGCCTACCTAAGGCACCTGATTGGTCTAATAAAAAGCTGAACAGCCAATAAGAGCTAGGCAGAAGAGAGATAAGCAGGCTGGTGGGCAGAGAGAATAAGTAGGAGAAATCTAAGGCCATCAAAGAGTGAAAGAAAGAAGAGAGGAGAGAAGGAGGGAGAAAGAGGGAGACATGTTATGGGATTTCCCACCCAGTTCTGCAGCCTCCTCAGAGCCCCAAATAAACACTTGAACACTATATTAGTTATGAATATTGCTGGCTGATGACTAGGGCTTCTTATTGGCTAGTTCTGTCTTAATTATTAACCCATAACTACTAATGTATATATATCTTCATGGCCTTCTCTTACTGGAGGAGGAGTCCAGACCTGTGACTCCTCTTGGGTTCTACATTGTGGCTTCTCTGCCTATGTTTTCCAGAATCCTCCTCATCTCCTAGTTCCACCTGTCTTGCTTCCCTATTGGCCAACAGTGCATTATTCATCAACCAATAAGACAAACATATACAGAAGACATCCCATCATCTCCTTAGGATGCTACTCCCAAAGCCACCTGGCCACTATGTCTCCTACTGTCAGTGACAATTGGATCTTTGTTGGTTTACACACACACACACACACACACACACATACACACACACACACACACACACACACACACGCACGCATGCACACATGCATAAATCTCTTATCTCTTATACAGGGCCGATTTCCTGCTAGGCGTGGCAGAATTGAGTAGCTCTCAGAGCTCCAAACATTTTCCATGGGGTTCTTGACAGAAAAAGTTCCCCAACCTCTGCCTCCTGACAGTACTCAGATGTCCACTGCCTGAGGACTGTCCCCTCTGCTCAGTCAGTACCACCCTCCAAAACCACATCTGCAGTTGGGGTGCTTCTACAGAGCCTACCTTCTCATTAACATCCCCAGTTATCACAGGACTGTACCATCTAAGAGCTGCAATGAATGAATAATTTAATGAACTGTGCTGGGCCTCAGAGTTTGCTAAGGGCACACTTTACCACTGGGGACCCTTCCCAGCATCCAGTGTATGAAACTGTCACCCACGATCCCTTAGGTTTTACTGCAAACCCTGAAGGAGCTTGGTTCTTTTCCCCTCTGCCCTGAATTCAATGTCAGAATCCCAGGGTTGCCTTCAGGTAGAACCAACTAACAGGCTCAACATCTGCATGGGCACATTTCTATTTATTTCTTTAATTTGTTTGGTGATTCTGCTTTACAATACAATCCCCTGTGGAGCTTTTAAACCTGACTAATACATGAGTCTCACCCATGCTGATTAAATTGGTCTGGAGAGGGTTTAAATGGTGCTGGCATTGTGTCAAAGTGGGGGTTGTGGATCAGCCGTAAAGCTTGCCCGGCATGCAGGAAGGCCTGGGATCCATCCCAGGTGGGAAATCCCCTTGTAGGGAGGGGGGTGGAGCTCCACCCCTGCTGACTTATTCCCACAAGAGAAGGGCACATTAGCCACTGCCCAGGATCATATACATAAACCTGGGAGCTGAGCCATAGCCCTTTGGGGGGGTTTGGAAAGACTGCTTTAGCTCTGTGCTGTCCTTGCCTTAAAGACCATTAGTGAAAAATAGACCCAGAGGCCTCAGTGCTGAGGCAGCCCAGTGCCTGGGGATGCTCTGTAGACAAGCTCCAATCAGAGCTGCAGCTCTGGGAGGGTTCCGGAGCACTCCAACCTATGGTGAGGCATTCAGTCCTTTCCTTGTCACACCTGTGAGGCAGCTGTCCTCTGTGAGCTCCAGCTTCCCTGTACCACGTGGAACCCCTAGGCTTAGGGACAGAATGTAACCCAGGAGATTCGTGGTAACATGATACATTTGGTTTTGTCGTTTTACAATGAGGTTTTCTCCAATTCCACAACTCTGTGTGTGTGTGTGTGTGTGTGTGTGTGTGTGTGTGTTTTGTTTGCATTGTGTTTTACTTTGTTTTGAAACAGGGTTTCTCTGTGTAGCCCTGACTGTCTTGGAACTCTGTGTATCAGGCTGGCCTTGAACTCAGAGCTCCACCTGTGTTTGCCTCCTGAGTGCTGGGATTAAAGGTGTGCACCACCACCACCCAGCTCTACAACTGCTCATTTATTTATTTATTTTGGTTTTTCGAGACAGGGTTTCTCTGTATTGTTTTGGAGGCTGTCCTGGAACTGGCTCTATAGACCAGACTGGCCTTGAACTCACAGAGATCCGCCTGCCTCTGCCTCCTAAGTGCCGAGATTAAAGGCGTGTGCAAACAATGCCCGGCTTTCTACAACTGCTCTTAAACACCCAGTAGAAGCCTGGGTGTGATGGCGCACACCTTTGATCCCAGCATTGGGAAGCAGAGACAAGTGCATCTCTGCAAGTTTGCGGTCAGCCTGGTCTACATAGAGTTCCAGGCAAGCCAGGGATATATAGTGAGACCTTATCTAAAAACATAAAAGCCCACCAGGGACCTAGGTATGGTAATGCATTCCTGTAATTCAGCATTTATCTAAGTGTGGGGGTGCATGCCTGTAATCCCAGCACTTAGGAGGCTGAGCCCGGCTTCTGCCTTTACAAAACAAATCAAAACAGAAACAGATCTTTATTTTGTTTATTTAGTTACTTATTTTGGTGGTGGGGACTGAACCCAGGATGTTACATGTGCTAAGTGGGAGTGCCCCTTAGATCTTGATAAGTGTTCCCCTCAGGTCTTTAGGCTGAGGTGAAAGCTCCCCTTACATCCCCTCAGCTGAGTGCAAACAAACTGCTCTTTCCTCAAGGGAGATTGATCAGGGATACCTCAGTTTATCAGTAAATGCTGTCAACTTCAGAGCCCGATTCCTGACTTGGGGTAGAACTGGGCATGTGTCATCTGTCATCACAAAGTTGCCCAGAGTTTTGGGAACTAGGCATTGACGACACAGCAATGATGGCAACACCTTGCAGGGGAAAGAGTGTGAGTGTGACTGTGTTCCCGGTGTGTGTGTGTGTGTGTGTGTGTGTAGTGATACTCACTGCTGCAGATATCTCCCGCCTGGAAGAGTTCCGTGGTGAGCAGAACCAAGCCGTAATAAGAAAAGGCATTGGAAAACCTGTGAGGGGAAGCCAGGATGGAGACATCAGAGGCGCAAGGCTCCCTCCAGCCCCAGGAGGTCTACTCCCTCACCAGTCTTTGCAGGGTCTTGGAGACTTTCAGGGACCCTGAGCAGGAAGATGGCTGGTGTGATGCATCATGATGGGACAGAGGGACATGATCCTGTGTTCTTGGAAGGACCAAGATGGGCTGTGTGACCTTTCCGCTGACATCTAAGGGGCTTCTGGGCTAAAGGGGGCGGGGGCAAGCAAACATGATTTTTAGAATTTCACAGTGCAATGACACTTCTTCCCTTCTGCACGGACCTGGAGTTTGCATTCAGAATGTACAGAACTAGAATATTCGTAAAACAGCCACGTGTGGACTCAGACACAACCAGAGGCTGAGGTTGAGACTCTCAGGCTTGCCAGCAGCGGCCCCCATGGTTCGGTCAGCCTGAACCATATGGCTGTTGTGAATGGTTAAAACGCCATTTCCTTCGTCCTCTAGATCTATTTCTTTAGACCATCCTGTGTTCTTGACCACTAGCTTCAAGCGTAACATTCCTGTAATGTGTTACATGTAAGTGTCAGACACAGAGGGTGGGGAAGAAATTCTCAGGTGGCCCATGACGGCTAGCGATGTCCTCCGGCACAGCCTTACTAACTGCTGTCCTGTCACCTGACAAGAGCCCTCTTGCCTGCCCTGCCCAGCCTCATTTTGTCAAATCCTAGGAATGACCCCCCCCCCAATGCCACAGGACGTAAATCAACAAACGTGACGCTGGATCAACATGGGGAAGCATAATTCAAAGTTGCCAGAAACAAACAAACAAACAAAATGCCATGGTGAAGACTCTCCGGGGCGATAGGATGATTATGGAGAGTTGGAACATTGCAGACTCAGAGCCAGAATTCTCTTGGGCTATCTTAATAGCCATGTATTTGCCGCACCATCTCCCTCTACCCAACATCCTTTCAACTATGGAGTAAAACTGATGGAGCGTGTTAAGCACTGGATTCCACCAAGTAAATATTTACGGACTGAAAAAAAAAAAGGAAAAGGAAAAGGAGAATGATCGGGTTGCGGTAACTGAGACTGGCGAGCAGAGTCGTTTGGCAAATGCTGCACTTTACGGCTTCCCTGCTTCTGTGACCATAGCTCTTTCCACGTGGGGGCACATCAAATTCGCTTCCAAACAAACTCTCTTCTCTTTGAGGTAAGAACTGGGTTTGACATTGACAGGATTAAAATTAGCCTCTCACAAATTGCTTTAGGGATTTGAAACCGATCCAAGTAAATTACAGATCCTTTGAAAATTATTTAATGTTTTTCCTTTGGAATTATAGATCCTTAAAGCTAGGTATCTCAGCTCTGTCCAGCCTCCCTTTCTAAAAATCCTACGGGTGTCACTTTGAGCCAGGTACACAGCAGGTATCTAATAAGTGCTTGGTGAATTGGTTCAGCTCTTAGGAACGCGGAGGCAGAACTCAAGCCATTCTTCCCTCTTCCCTGTAATTGACCATGCTGGGAACACCTCTCTCATAATCAGTGTGAAAGGGTGAAAAGGAAGCTTGGAACCAGGTTAAAAATAAAGCACAAGCCCCACCCCCAGCCACACGGTGCCTTGCTCTGGCGCTGCTGCATGGGAGATCTGGAAATGAGAAAAGAATGACTGCAATTGGACGTCTACAAAGAGGAAAATAATTACTTTCTGAATTTGCCTCCCTTCTGGTCTCCCCCTCACGGCTGTCACTTAAGAAAACTTAAACTGGGTAGGAACTGAGTGGCAGGTGGAGAGCCAGGGGTGGGGTGGGGGGGGTGGATTCCCATGAATGGCTGTGTTGACCACATCTTGGTTTTCAAAGGATACCACACGTGGTAGCTGAGGCACCAGGTGCAGAGAGGAGGGCCCTAGCCGGTGTAAACAGTGGCCTGCCTCCTTGGCCTCCTTTAGAAAGGTCCCTTGGAAGTTTGCTTTCAGTTCCTTGGGTTGCATTAGCTTCATCATGAGCTCCTGACTCCTGAGCATCTGCCCTTACCACAGCCGCCCTGTCTCCAGTACACAGGCTCAGTGCCTGGGCACACCAGCCACCCTGTCTCCAGTACACAGGCTCAGCGCCTGGGCACACCAGCCACCCTGTCTCCGGTACACAGGCTCAGCGCCTGGGCACACCAGCTGCCACAGTCACTTTACTGCATCCACCTTGAGAGCATCATTAGGGATAGCTTGCAACTCAAGCATTTTCTTGAAGAGCAGAAATAGAAATGTCTCCCTTTTATAAAAATATATATTTATTATATATACAGTGTTCTGTCTGCATGTATGCCTACAGATCATAAGAGGAGACCAGTTCTCATTGCAGATGGTTGTGAGCCACCATATGGCTGCTGGGAATTGAACTCTAGACCTCTGGAAGGGCAGCCAGTGCTCTTAACCGCTAAGCTATCTCTCCAGCCCTAGACATGTCTCCTTTAATAGCTACTTATCTGAGAAGCTCCACATTAAGTTCAAAGGGTGAAGAAGTGAACAGCCCACATGGTCCTTGGTGCAGATGAGGTCAGGAATGTGATGCTAACAGCACCCATGGGGGCCAGCCTGTAAACCCAGCACCCCAGAGGCAGAGACCAGATCTCTATAGCAAGCTGGCTCGCTTCAAGTGAGAGACTCCGCCTTGATTTATAAGGTTGAGAAAGACTGTGGCGGATACCTGATTGTCATCTTTGGGTGCCCCATGCATACATATGCATAAACACACACAAGTAAATCTCAAGACCCAACGTGTGTAATGGGAGGGGCTCACAGAGGGCAGCCAGCAACTCTTACCATATAAACCACAGCAGCAGCGTTGTCCAGCGAAAGTGGGGTGTGAAAAGGTCCCTCATTTTGCCTCGGTCTTCCTGTTTCAAGACAAGGACATGTGGGTTATTGGCTAGCTCCCAGTCCATAGGGGCTTTGGCTTGGGGTCTGATACACACACTCTCTCTCTCTCTCTCTCTCTCTCTCTCTCTCTCTCTCTCTCTCTCTCTCCCTCCCTCCCTCCCTCCCTCCCTCCCTCCCTCCCTCCCTCCCTCCCTCCTCTCTCTCTCTCTCTCTCTCTCTCTCTCTCTCTCTCTCTCTCTCTCTCTCTCTCTCTCTCACTCTGCTAGTGGCATAGCCAGGGTAGAGGATACAGGCTTGGGAAGCCAAGACTCATCCCATTCCTTCCTGCTGAGACCCTGGTAGGCTGGAGTCTTCATTACCACAGGCCAGAACCATGTGTGCTTCCAACATGGAGCAGGAGGCAGACCCCTGAGGTGGGCACTATTGGGCCCCTGGGTCTGTTTCAGTGCAAGGGGTATGAAATCATTGCACACACATACAGCCAGCTCCTGGTCAGGGCACCACAGTACATGTGCTGAGAACCAGCTCAACACAGGCCACTTTGCCCAAAGACTGACTATCTAAATGACCCATTTGTCAATTTCACAAAAATTTAAAGAATTTACTTGTATTAAATTTTGTTTTTGAGCCAGGTGTTGGTAGTGCACGCCTTTAATCCCAGCACTCGGGAGGCAGAGGCAGGAGAATCTCTGTGATTTCGAGGCCAGTCAGTCTGGTCTACAGAGCGAGTTCCAGGACAGCCTCAAAAACAATACAGAGAAACCCTGTGTCGAAAAACCAAAAAAATATTTTCAAATCTTTGCTTAACAATGCTCTTTAAAAAAATTGAGCTGGGGACAAAACAGAAACAGAAGCAGTTATGAAACACACTGGCTGGCAGGACATCTCCCCAATTGCTGCTGCCTAAATTCTCCAGCAGTAGCTTAGAATTTGTCAGTCAGCTACCAGTTCCCTTTACCAGCTCCATATTGGCTTTCCAGTCCACGTATACAGACATACACAAACACAAATGCAGAGCCACACCAGGTATCTGTACTCACCCACACCTGTGCCACACACGCATGCCAGCCTCTGCAATCGCTTCCTTGCATGCATGCACATGTGCCCACACGCATGCCAGCCTCTGCAATCGCTTCCTTGCATGCACACACACATGCCCACACGCATGTCAGCCTCTGCAATCGCTTCCTTGCATGCATACACACATGCCCACACACGTCAGTCTCTGTAATCATTTCCTTACATGCACACACACATGCCCACACACATGCCAGCCTCTGCAATCGCTTCCTTGCATGCACACACACATGCCCATATGCATGTCAGCCTCTGCAATCGCTTCCTTGCGTGTACACACACACACAGTCTCCAAACACTCACCTGTCTGGAGATGATAAGCTTCCCCAGAGGCATGGGGGCTCCATTTTCTGTTGCTATCCGCTTTAACGTGGCAATCGCCTTTTCCTGGTTCCCGGACAGCACATCATACCTAGCACTCTCTGGCAGCCACTGAGGGAACAGGAGACCCGGGTGTGTCTCGTTAGTGTAGAACAGAGCGCTCTCCAGGCCACCCTCTCTCGTCTATGTGGGGGCCTTGGAGGGCTAGATCTCTGGAAGCAGAGACCTGGCTCCAAATGCTGGCTCCTGAGCAGCAGCGTCACCTCCCTGTGCCTCTGTGCCTTCCCCCATACCTTAGGTGCTTAGAGGATTAAACAGGATAACAGAAGTGGAGAGCTTGAGGAAGGGCTGGCCTGGGTTCACGTAACTGTCATCACTGTCATAGTTGCTTTTAGAGTTTGGGGGAGAAGTAAATAGTGACCACCATCAAAAAGAAAAAAATCTCCCCTCAATTCTTGAGAACCTCTGCCTCCTTGTGCTTAGTATTGTTTGTAAACTAAATCTGGGAGAGAGAGATCAGAAGGTTTTAATCCTTATGGAGTCCCAGCTTCAAATACAGAGGCAAGTTTGTTCCTGTGAGGGGAAACAGTGGTTTGTAGAAACTGTGGGACTGGGACTCAGAGGTTCAAAGAAGGCCTGATGTTTGGAAAATCAGCTGGCCTCTGGAATTTAGTTTCCTCTTTAGTAAAATGAGGATGTAGGAGAGTTTGTCAATGTCCACCAAATTCACACCTTTGTGTAGAATTCTCCATGGACATGGTTGCCTGGCCATGAACTACACTTCCCAGCATCCCTTGCAACTAGCTGAGCCCACATGGCTAGCAATCACCAATGTTAGCAGATGTTAAACAAGCAAGGATATGAGTCTCCACTTGGCTCCCAGCCCTTTGCCCGCAACCCCCACCCAGACTCCAGTGTCCTAGGGGATGGCTGAACCACAGGCTGTAAAAACAAAACCAAACAAAAATAACAAAACTTGTGCTGAGATCCCCCAAGTCAGCCAGAATATTCTTTCTAAACTGTTCAGCAGCAAAAAAGCATCTTCCTTCTTATGCATTGAGCTACTGAATTGGTGGCTTTGTCACAAGAACAGATGTCAACCTAACGTGGGCTTCATTATAGCCTGTTCCCACGTGGCTATGGGGAGAAAGAAAGAGTAGTGAAAGCGTGTGAGCCACCTAGCACACAGGCTCCCTCACAGCCTCTCTCTCTGTCTCTGTGTGCGTGCACACATGTGTGTGCTCATGTGGGTGTGTGTGCCTATACATGTTCTACACACGATACACAAGAAGTGAGGTGTTCTCATTTTGGGGTGAGATAAGGAGACCATGTGAGCTCCTGGATCCAGCTGTGCCTAAAAGCCAGACAGACTCCTCTGTTATGTGTCTGTTTCGCTCAAGCCAGTTTGAAAAGTTAAGAGTTCTCATGGCTCCAGCGGAGTCACTTTAAGCCTAAGTCTTACAGAGAACATCTCAAAAGAGATTGTTCACAGCGAATCCAACACCACACATTTAACAATTAGTGTGTGTTTGTGTGCGTGTGCGCGCGCGTTTAAAAGCCCTGGCCGTCCTGGAACTTGCTCTGTAGACCAGGCAGTCCTCAAATACTGAGAAAGACCCACCTCTTCTCTCTCCCCGGGAGTAAAGACATGAGCCTCCATGCCCATCTACTAAATAATAGTTCTAAGAGACTAAACTTTGGTGTTGTCTGCCACTCAGTTCCCACTAGAATACAGTGTCCCCCAGATGGGCAAGGAGATGGCTTTGACATACGTACGAAACACAGAATAGCAAAGAGGAGCAGTGGAGCAGCTGAGAGCATGAGCAGCCAGCGCCAGCCCAAGCTGGGCATCACAAACACAGCCAGAAGAACTTCGAACACTGTCCCGATGGCCCAGAAGACCTGGCATGGGAGAGTAAGAGTCAGTGGTGAGGCAGTGTGGCCCACACAGTGTCGACGGCGGGGTACTGTGGAGGACAGCGGAAGGCCAGAACCCTACCCCCTTCTTTCCACGTGGCACATCCTGCTGTGGCCCTTCCCACGCTGCACACCACAGCCGAGGTGGAAAGGACCAGTGTTCTCTGATACAGTTATGACAGTGAGCATTTCAAGGGACTTTGGTTTTGGCTTATTTCCAATTTTTTCCCTACCCATTCTAAGTGTGCACTGATATTGAACACACTTGGGCTGTTCTGAAGCCATCATTGCTGTCTACCTCTGGAGCTTATTCTGTGAAACAAAACTGGTCTCCATGGCACTCGCCCCCTCCTAACTCTACCCAACCACCAGTCCCTGGAAGTCTGTTTTTGCTTTTCTCACTGCCATTTTTTGAGACAGGGTCTGGCTCTATAGCCCAGGCTGTACCTCAAACTCTCTATGTATTCCAGCCTGGCTTTAAACTTGAGATCTTCTTGTCTCAGCCTCCCAGGCGTCAGGACTACAGCTATGTTCAAGGATGTGTGTCCTGTCATTATGAGCTTGACTACTCCAACCACCCATGTGGCAGAGTCAGATGGCATTTGTCTTTTATGTCTGGGTTACCTCACCAAGCATAACGTCCTGGTGGCTCACCAATGTTGTAGCATAGTGCCACAATTTCCTTCCTTTTCAAGGCTGGATACGATTCCATGGACATACCATATCTTCCTTATGCATGTATCCACGACAGACACTTGTCAGATTCTGCTGTCTGCATGTGTTTATACACACTGACACTCTCTGGCTTCTGTCTACTGACATCTACGTCCCTTGCCCCACAGGCTCTAGTATCCTCCTTTGGAATCATCTCTCCCTTAGCTCCCCAAGTCACTCTCCATCATTTCTTATTTTTGAAAGGACTCCACCACCAGGTTTCCTGCCTGTGGTTTCCCACAGTGTGCTGCTAATAGGGAGCCCAGGGGATCAGAGGGAGAGCAGGGTGGAAAGGAAGCTGGGTTGATTTACTGTCCTGGCCCCCTCCCTTGCAGGGTGGTCCCGGGCTGACCCAGATGAAGGTTTCTTCCAGGGACTCCATCATCTAACTGTTAGGGCAGGCAGCTTATTGCTGCCTCCTGGTCCTTTGGGACTGGGCTTGAGAACATATTTGTGGGTAGACTTTATTGCTGTTATTATTTTTAAATCACAGTTATTTGTCTGTTTGCTTGTTTATTGAGGGGGTGGTGAATGGTTTGAGGGAGCCAGTTCTGGCTTCACATAACTTGGATCCTAGATTTCAAACTCAGGTCATCAGGCTTGCTAGCAGGGGCTTTACAAGCCATCTCCCTGACCCTACTATTATGGTTATTACCTTAAGTACTGGGGACTAAAGCCAGAGCCTGGCATATGTGAGGCGAGCACTCTACCAACTGAGCTACAGCCTCAGCTCTCTTCTCAACTTTAATTTGAAGGCAGGGTCTCACCAAGTGACCCCAGGCAGACCTTGAAGTTATGATGCTCACCTCAGCCTCCCTGGTAGCTAGGATGGCAAACGTGGCTTACCAGGCTCTGCAGGGACTGTATACTGACTTTCTAAGTCCTCCTCAGACTGATCTGTTGTTCCAGGCCTGGGCTCTCCATTTGCAAGCACAGCCCAAGATAAAGTCTACCCCACTAAGGTCCCCAAAACCTTCCTAAACCCCCTTCACTTAAAGGAGCCACCCAACTATCATGGGTGACCATTGAAATGTCCAACCATGGGTGTGTTAAGGATGCTGGCCAGTTAGGATGGACATTAGGCATGCTACTCAACCAGGTATGAATTTAAAACTTTTGTTTTTAGACAGGGTCTTGCTATGTGGTCCTGACTGGCCTGGAACTTGCAGCGATCCTCCTGCCTCTGCCTACTGAGTTTGGAGGTTCGGAGGTGACAGGTTTGAGCCACCACTCTCAGCTTTAGTTGCTGGATCTTGGGAAGCCTAAGGGAGAACCAAGCGTGACTGGGGTTAGCCAGATTTTAATATGTGCTGGCCCAGACACAGTCTGTCCTTGAACAACTAGCAGGGGAGGCAGTAAATGCCTGTATTCCTAACATTAGGGAGGCAGGTACAGGAGGATTGCCGCAAATCCAAGGACAGTCTGAGTCACCTATCGGGTTCCAGGCCACCCCAGGCTACATAGTGAAAGTTTGTCTCAAAACAAACAAGCATATAGATTCAGTGTCTGCAGAGCTGATTGTCCATGCCTATGTCTGGCAGCTGAGAGCTGGCCACTCTGATGGATCAGAGGTATAGGCCAGTGTGCATGGTGATAGGAGTCAGCCCTGGGAGCACCGTCCCTGCAAGTTCTCAACTGTGGAGGGCCCTAAATAAGGATAGCATAATAGAAGCCATCTTAATATTCATACTGTATTCTTAGAGACTAACACTTAGTTAAGTTTCTGTTTCTCTATGTCTGCTTATCTTCCTGTAAAGCATATTTTCAAGGCCTGCAGTCCAGGCTCTCACACCCTTCTGCCACCTGGCCTACACCCCAGACTCCCCCAGCTGCAGACTTGTGTCCTTGGAACACACCCTGCTCCCCTACCCTTCTGCTACCTGCCTTACTTAAGCCCTGTTGGTACTTTCAATAAACGAGACTTGATCAGAATACTGTCTTGTCCCCATCTCTCGTGTCTCTTGTCCCCCCATTCTCACTCCCTCCCCTAGGGTCCCCGTTGACTGACCCCACAGGCCGGGGCACTCAACCTGTGGGCCATGACCCCTCTGGGGGTCAAATGACCCTTTCACAGGGTCACATACCAGATATTTACGTTATGATTCATAATAGTAGCAAAATTACTAGTAGCAATGAAATAATTTTATGATTGGGGGTCACCACAATATGAGGAACTGTGTTAAAGGGTCACAGCATTAGGAAGGTTGAGGATCGCTGATCCAATTAAAGAAAGAAAAGCAGGGAGAAGGGGGAGGAAGAGAGAGGAGGGAGGGAGGAAAAATATTTATACTGTATATCCATGTACATATTTGTCTATTAAGTCTATTATGTCTCTCTCTCCCTCCCTCCCTCCCTCCCTCCCTCTCCCTCCCTCCCTCCCTCCCTCCCTCCTTCTCTCTCTCTCTCTCTCTTTTGGTGTTTTGAGACAGGGTTCCTCTGTGTAACAGTCCTGATTGTCCTGGAACTTGTTTTGTAGACCAGGCTGGCTTCGAACTCACTGAAATCCACCTGCACCTGCCTCCTAAGTGCTGGGATCAAAGGCATGCACCACCGCCTCTCAGCTTGTTATGTTTTCCTTGAACTCCCCTTTGCAGTCCTGTGGCTCCATACACCTGAGAACTGATTGCCAGTCAGCATTTCCTACAGACCATCACCCCCTCCTTACCTCTATGAGCAAAATACACTTGGCTCTGGCCTTCATGGGAAGGAACTCAGCATACAGCGTCACCCTACAGGAGCAAAGAGGCAGGGGCTAAGAGGATGGGAAGATGGCAGATTCTGAGCTTCCCCCAATAATGGACAATATCCTCCTAAATGGTCTGTGGATTCCTGAGTCAATTTCCTGGCATCATGGCTACAGGCAGAAAATCAATAGGTCCTTACTGTGGCTCAAGGCTACCTTCAATGTCTCCATCTGCCTGTCTCTGCCTCCTGAGTGCTGGGATTAAAGGCATGCACCACCACCACCTGGCTGGGTCCTATATTTTTAACCAGCTTCCCAAATGATCCACCATGCTGCCTTTGAAGTTGGCTATAGCTGTGGAGTCTGGGGGAAGTCTGGTTGTGGGTTTATAGGCAGCTGTGTCATATTCGGCCTTTTGTCCAGGGGGACACCCTCATTCGGGGTCCCTGATGTCTGTGCATCCCTGGTGACAACCACATGGGTAATGCCAGGTTGCTCAGCAGTTGCATCCAGGGTGTTTGATGCCAGCCTGCTCCCTCACGGGTATGTTCATCTTCACAGAGGGGTGGAGTTGGCGTCTGATGGATCTCTCTTGCTCTAAGGTACCGTTTTTGACACTTGTGACTAGGACATAATTCAGATTTGCCAATATCTTGTTCTCCACAAAACCTCCTGTAGCTACTGGCTATTTTCACCTGAATGGGCCATGGCTGCATTGGTGATAAATTGTAGTTTTAATTTGTCTTTTTTTCTGCATTTATAAATCACATCCTGATATAAGAAATATCTCTTCTGGGGCTGGCAAGATGGATGTGTGGATAAAGGAACCCACTGCCAAGTCCAGTAATCCGAGTTTGATTCCTATAACTCCACACGGTGGAAAGAGAGGGCACTCCTAAAGGGGTCCTCTGACCTCCACTGTCTACTAAATCACCTGGAAGGTGCCCTGGGCCTGCGGGTTTTCCCAGCTGTCATTTACCTGAATGATACTCTGTGGATGTTCACAGCTCCCCCTACTGGACACAAAAAGCTACTGTCTTACACTTACCCTCTCTGTTTTGCTTATTCTCATAAAGGACACTTGCACGTTTAGTGAGATTTTTGCTCATTTTTTGTGCATTTTATAACCCCAAATATCACTTGTGATGATACAGACAAGCACTGTTTAGCTCCCTTTTAAAACTTGGAATCCAAATCTTGGTACTGGAGATTGCTTAGTGGTTAAGAGCTTGGAGGACTGGAGTTAGATTCCCACTACCCCACATGGTGGTTCACAACCACCTGCAACTCCAGGTCGAGGGAATCAGACGCCCTCTTCTGGCCCTGGTATGTATTACATGCACACACACACACACACACACACACACACACCCCATATATACAGGCAGAACTTGATACATATAAATCATTTTTTAATCCAGTTTTTCTTCTTTGATACTGGTGGTTGAGCTCAGGGCCGTGTGAAAGTTAGGCAAGTGCGTGCTCTACCACTGGGCTGTATCTTAAGCCACCAAATCTAACATTTTTATAATTAAAAAAAGAATTGTTTTTGTTTTGTGTGTGTGTTTGTATGAGTATATGCCTTGCACATGTGCAGTGCCCTCACAGGCCAGAAGAGGGCACTGGATCCTCTGGAGCTGGAGTTAAAGTCATGTGCTATCCAACATGGATGTTGAGAATTAAACCTGGGTCTCCTCCAAGAGCAGTCAACTAGTAAGCACTCTTAACCACTGGGCCATCTCTCTGCCCCAAAGCAAACACTTTTATGCTTCTCCATAGACATGAAGGGAGATTACTCAGCATTTTACTGAGACTTCTCTATCCTGCCTTAAATGGGACAGGAACCTGCCAGGAGGGACAACTCCACACCTCTGGCATTGTCCTCCCAGCAGGGCAGGCCCCAGAAACAGCAAGCTCTTCTCACGGTGTAAGTGCACAGCTTTATGCAGAGTTTGTTCCACACAGATACTGTCTGGCATTAGTCAGGTCCGAATTTGAACTCAGTTGCAACTGGCCTGGGAGAGCAACCCCGCCCCCCCCCGCAGGAACCCTTTGCTGTCCCTGCTACTCTGTGGCCTGACCGAACTGCCCTTCACATCATGAGTTGATTTCAGGGCTGTGCACTTCGGGCAGCAGCTGTAAGCCCTGGGTTTGATTCCCAGCACCGCTGGCTGCAGACTTAGGCTGTAGGTGACTTTGTGGCTTTGGCTTCCTGTCTTGGATCCCAGGTGGCTGTGCCTGGGTGGAGCCAGATGGAGCCTTCTAGGTTCATCAGGTCATCTAATCCACCCCTTGACTGAAAATGTGAGCAGGACCCGCTGACACAGCAGAACCGCCCAACTGCAGAACTGAGTTAAGTAAATCCGGGTGTTAACCTCCGAGTGCTAGGTGGTTTGCGACCAGCAGCAGCTAACTCTCACCTGGCCTTACAAAGCACCTGACGTTGATTAAGCCTCTGGTGAGGGGGGTTAGTCAGGTGGGGGTGGGGGTGGGCTAAAGGCTGTGTGAAGACACAGCACAGCTGTCCTGTGGTACTCAGGCGCCGTCTTTGCTGGCAACGAATGCACTGTACCGTAGGGCTTTTGTTTTTGTTTTTCGAGACAGGGTTTCTCTGTGTAGGTCTGGAGACTGTCCTGGAACTCACTCTGTAGATCAGGCTGGCCTCGAACTCACAGAGATCCGCCTGCCTCTGCCTCCCAAGTACCGTGTCTAAGGGTGTGTTCCACTACTGCTGGGCCTGTACTGTAGCTCTTGTCGACAATGTAAATGTGTGTTTGGGGAGGCAGAAATGAAGGGGGACAGAGGCAGAGAAGAGGGTTCCTTACAAGTGATTTGCCTTCGAAGTGTTGGGGTTTGGGTGTCTGGCACATGTGCCTGGGGCTTCATGTGTTGACACTTCATCCTCAGCCTGCTAGACTTGATCCAGTTGTGATGTCTGGGGGTGGGGACTCAGGGCTGGGGGAGGTGTTCAGGGTCAGACAATGTCGTTAGGGTCAGTTCCAAGATTGAATTCTGGCCTTTTATGGGGAGGGGCAGGGGAGTCTTGCTAATCTGGAACTCACTATGTAGCCCAGACTGACCTCAAACCCATGGTAATCCTCCTCGCCCCTCCCCCAACTCTGGGATTACAGGAGATCGCCACCATGGTCACCTTGGATCTTGGAGGTTTGGTAAGGAGATCTGATGACTTGTGTGTGCCTCCTGTCTCTTGCCAGGTTATACCTAAGGCAGCCCCTAGACTTGAGCCAGGACTATAAGCTGAGATGAACCCCTATCTTTATAAACTACCCCCCCATTGGGTTCTCAAAACAGGAAACCAGCTGTTACCATTACATTCTGGCTGTTGACTTATCTTAAAATTATACTCCAAGATGTCATTTTTTTATGACTTTCTGAGGAACCCCGGCTGGGTAAAGTCACTCTACACGAATGGAAACTTTTAATATTACCTAACTACCTAAAAATATTGTCACCTAAATGTTTCCCAACACAGCCCTTGGGGGAGCCATCTTTATAACTCGATAAGAGCGCTGGCTAATTACGACATAATTAGGTTTATGTAAAATGACTACATCTGAAGTGCTAAGGAGCCAGAGCCCTCTCGGGTGGCTTCATAATTCTTCTCTAATTTTGCTTGTGGTTTTATTTGTCTTCTTTACAGATAAGACAGCTATTTAGTTGAATAAATGAGCAAGCGAGTTGTGGCAAATCTCAGGTCAGCCATTAACTAGCTGTGGGGCTTGGGGCACACACGTCCCACTTATTTATTTATTTATTTATGTATTTATGTATTTGTCATAGGTGTGTGGAGCTTTGGTGGCTTTGCTGAGCGCTTTGGTGGGACAGGATGTTTATAAAGTGGGAAAGGCTTTGGCAGATCTCAGTGATTTAGACCATCGTGTAAAGAGTGTCCGTAAGAGAGAACAATCTAAAAGAGACTATTTTTTTAAAGAAATGGTGAGACAGAAAAGGGAGTCTGTCTGGGTTACTCGAAGACAAATGCCGCAAGGTTGGTGTTGAGCTGCAGTCCCTAAGGAGACAACCGTGTGCTAAGGGGCTTCGGGAAGGCGTTAAAGCCTGAGGAGCAGTTGGTGGAAGACATTTGTGACAGAACAGTACAGGTGCAGTCTCACCAGGATGCATGGCCCTCTGAGGAGTACAAGGGGCAGACTGCAGTGGCTGGCACACCGTGCCCCTGGATTAGTTCAGGCTCAGCCAATGAACCAGGGACTCGCTCCCCCTGCACTAGCCAACAGCACTACCTGCAAAAGTTCACAGCTGGACCCTGTACAGGCTTTGCCTTGGCCCAAAAGTTGTAGCCCAAACGGTCGTTTGGGATAAAGAATATCACCCTTTCTAAGTCTCGGTGTCCTCTCCTGAAAAATGGAGCTTATCAGCAAACACACCCGTGCCGGCACCACGATGTGCAGATGTTAAACGTACCATCAAAGTTGGGTCTGCTTTGTTACGACTTTGCTTTTAGGGCCTTTGGACACTGTGCTGATGCTGTCGTTAGTTGAAGGATACTGATGCTAACACTGCCTGTTCTACAGTGGCTCAGGTTCTAGGAGCCCTGCATAGCCATTCCTACAGTCCAAGGCAATGAAGGCACACAGCCATCTTCCTTATCTCCAGGACACTGGGACTTAAACCTGGAACTGTTCGACCCCCTCGTGTGAGATGATGTAGTATTTGATAGATGTACTCACAGGCCTGTATGCTATAAACCTTCACTAGATGGCTGACAGCTCAGGCCATAGCACAAATGCTATACATGGCCAACAGTTATATATTCTTTAGTGATTAATGTCAAGGGAGGATTCTTGACATGTTCACTTCTTCCCACAGTATTTTTAATTCCCAAGTGGCTGAACCCGTGCATACAGAAGGTAGTTAGGCCGGATCTGGGTCTTTACTTACGACTGGGGCACCCCTCCAATCCCAAAGCCCACCAGGCCTCGGAGCACCAGGATCCAACTATACACAGGCGCAAAAGCACTGAGGACGCCGTAGTACAGGGTCCAGAGCACGCTGATCTTCAGCCCCTGTGGAGAAGGAGACAAGGAGTCACAGGAGCCTTGGGCATCTCCAGGCGGGTGTGCCTACAACCATATAAAGCCACCAGTCAAGGATGAGTGGGTGCGGCCCAGCTACAGCGTCTGCCCTGGGTTCTATCCCTGGCATTGCTTTTTTTTAAATGAGAATAATTACCAACGGGGGGGGGGGGGGCAGGGTGGAGTTAGGAGTGCTGGTTACTCTTCTGGGGAACCTGAGTTTGATTCTCAGCTCCCACATGGCAGCTCTACTGTCTGTAACTACAGCTCTAGAGGATCGAATACCCTCTTCCAGACTCCCTGGGCACAGCAGGCACATTTACACACAGGTAAAGCACCCATACATATAAAATAAAAATAAATGAAATCTCAAAAGATTTTAAGTTATCAGTGGTCTCACTTTACAAGCATCCCACACAGGCAGGGGATGCCGGGTGAGCTCTGTGTGCTATTACAACTGGGCCATCCTGGATGTCCCTTGATTACCATTTAATGCCAGTCAGGCTCCAGAGGGTCAGCACGAGGCCCACATGGCTCTGTGTCTGACGTCATCGCCAACATCCTCATCATCAACGCAGAAAAATGCTTATGCTTCTTCCCAGACCTTTGCTCTTTGCTTCACAGGGTGAGGGGACACAGAGCGAATGTACTTGGACCAAAGCTAATCGGGGACCTTCCACAGGCTGAAAGCTCCCAAACTGCAAGCCAAACAAACCTTTGTCTTTGTAAGCTGGCTTTGTTTCAGGTACTTGTTATAGCAGAAGATAGCCGACTAACACTGTGGCTAATATTATTTATGAATTTTAAGTAAAGGGGACACAATGTTCACTGGGGTTGAGAATTGAACAGAGACACCATGACAAATATGTTACAAATTTAAGAAAGTGTTCATTTTAATTACTCTTAGAGATAGGGAAACAAATTCAGGGTAAATGTTTTATATATATACATATATATATGTAACTTATTCATCTTTTTCTTCAATATGCATATACTGAATGCCTGCTTTGTACTTAGCCACAGGACTACTGGAATATATGGTCCATTCAGAAATGTGCCGTCCGTCCGTCCATCTGTCCGTCCATCCACATGGAGTGTATGTACCGAATGTCTGTTGCTTGCTTGGCACTGAACTGCAGGAGGGGACCTGACAGTTGAGTCCCCGTGCTCACAATTATGTGGGGTCACTGTAGCGCACCCGCAGGAAGAAGATTTTCTCGTTTCCATTAGATGCATTATCTCAGCAGAGCAGAAGAGTGATTTGCTCAAAATCAGCACATGGCAGGGCCAAACCTGCAGCCAGAGCTTCCAATACTTGACACTTGAGCTCCCACTAATCTCCAACAGCCCGCCCATGCCTTAGGCAGTTGAGATATTGCAGGGAGAGGTGGGAACTGCATCAGTGAGAGGACAGCTCTAGCCAGATGTCACCATGACAGATCATGGGTCGTGATCACTTGGGAACCCAGGTTTCCAAAGAAGCCATAAGCCACAATTTTTTAATGCAAAATGTATCTTTTTAAAAATGGCGGCAACTAATTGAAAACTCCATGGAACCCTGTGATGGATAAATAAAATATGGGGCTAGGGTGTAGCTCAGGGTTAGAATGCATGATTAGCATGCAGCAGGTCCTGAGATCGACCCCTCAGCACTAAAATCTGGAACACATGGGCACGTGTCTGTCTCTGGGTTACCAGTTTACAACCTGTAGCCCAGAAAGCTCGGGATGCATTCTTGGATCGCACTGACTGGGTGACCTGGTTACACCACCCACGCTCAGAACTGTAGTAATTACAACCAGAACATTCTAACACGCATTGGCAGACACCTATGCATATCACACATACTTCAGTTTGTTTTTTGAGATAGTCTCATATGGCCCAAACTAGCCTTGGACTCACTGTGTACCAGGGATGACATCGATCTGCTGAATCTCCCGCTCCCTCCTAAATACTGGGGTTACAGGCATGTGCCACCCACACCCAGTTTTATTTGTCGATGCGATAGAACATGGCCTTGTGTGTACTGGGCACTCTCCATTGAATTGCACCCCAGCCCTACACACATTTTATGGTTGGACCCTTCCCCCTTAGTACTTCTTTTGTGACCTTTATTTTTCATGCAGGGAAACTGAGGCTCAGAGAGGTAAAGCAACTTGGGGTGGGGAGTGGGGACATAGCTTCCATTGCCCCCATCATTCCATGGCTGACACAAGCCCCAGGCATTAGTAACTTCCACCTGAACCAGGCATCTCAATGAACCCTAATGCAGACACCCATGTGGACTCGGAAACCTGCCACCTGCACCAAAACAGTTAAGAAGCCCCTTGGTGAGTCAGGTGTTGCTGGCACATACACTTTTAATCCCAGCACTCAGGATGTAGAGGCAGGCAGATCTCTGTGAGTTCAAGGCCAGCCTGGTCTACAGAGTTCCAGGACAGGTTCCAGAGTAATACAGAGAAACCCTGTCTTGAAATAGATAGATAGATAGATAGATAGATAGATAGATAGATAGATAGATAGATAAGGAAACCCCTCTGTGCTGATGCTGCTGGTAGGTTACTGGTATGCCCAGGCCCCTAGAGGAACCCGGGGGAGGCTTCCTAACTACAGCCCACTCCTTGCTTCTTGAGTTTGCACAGAAACTCCGTCATGGGAGGAGAAGCCATTGGGGGCCACTTCCCCTTCCTCTCTGTTGGGTGTGAAACTTAGGTAGCCTGGGAGCAGAGGCAGCAGAACACAGTTTGGGCAGCCCTCCACGCAGCTTATTTATCTAGGGCTAACCTCTTTGGGAAGAACCCAGGTCTGCCAGCAGCTGAGGTCAGAGTGAAGGATATGGAATTTGGAGACGGGCACCAGGGTGTAAATGCTGGCTGTTATGAATGGGGACAAGTGTGGCATGTGGCAAGAGTAGGAACAGACCTTTATGAAATGATTTATCTGTGCCAAGACCTTGTGTGCAAGACCCCTCACTCTATGAAATCATCCCATGGCGTGTATGAGCCATCCCACGTATGCGTGAGGACACAAGGCTCCATGACACTGCATGGGAAGCGACTAGGACCTGAACCCAAGCAGCCTGGCTCAGCCCATGCTTTCCAGGGGGATGTTCCCTTTTTGTTTGCCAAAATGAACCAACTACATGGGTATTGGATAAAGCTTTAGTGGTCTCAGGTGAAGGAGAAAGGGGGCATGGAATTAACTCTGCAAGTGACGGCACTTTCTCTCCAGACCAGGTCCCTCAGTGCCCTGTGTACTGTGGGGACAGGATGAGATTCCTGGTTTCTACCTGCCACGATGGTTGCGGATGGAAGACTTCAGTTCGAGTATAAAAATGAGGTCACACAGTCAGGAATGACCCAGAGGTCACCTGACACACACCTTCTTCTATGTCGCCCCTGACTCTAAAGAAATTGTAGGCTGGTGTGAAGAGTCCAAGAGGAAATGAGAGTTCAGGGAGAAAGCAATGGAGGGATGTACCCCATGGTGAGTGTGTAGAGCTCTTTGGGCCCAAGCTGACAGATGGAAGGAGACTAACTTCACCTACAGAGAACATCAGTGACCCAAGTCCAGTCTAATAAAGTGAGGGCAATGTTAAATAAAAAGGGAGGCATCCGTCCAAGGCCTTGGAGGTACCCACTGAGAACTCCTGCTTAAGGCAGACCATGATGGAAGAAGTCCAGCACAAATAGTGTTTTGTTTCACTTGAGACAATATCTCTCTATGTAGCCCAGACCAACCTCAGATTCATCAAAATCCTCCTGCCAGGGCCTGCTAAATTCTGGGGCTGCAGATACTCACTGCCATGCCTACAACAAACATTTAAGTCAGGCAGTGACCCCATCAGGGCAGTGGATATGGAAGACAGGCCAGGAAAAGCTCCTGCCTGGGGCACTGAGACAGGACCTTTCCCTCTAGGACAATAAAGCTGATGTCATCTACCAGCCTTCACCCGCCCTGGCCTCATGTAAGGGACACACGTTGGCATCAAGAACATTCCTGCTCTCTTGGGTGCACCCTTTTCAGCCCACGAGACTGTGCAGCCACATCCCCACCCTTTCTAAGGCATCAGAGATGGCGTTGTGCCGCCCCATGATGTCTGAACCACAGAGTGCGAGCATTTAGATGAGGAAGGAGCCTTACTGTTTTCCTGCCATACTGATCTGAGATGTTTCCCCAGAGCGTGGAACTGGACATCATGCCGATGAACACCACCTGTGGGCAAACAGACGGTTCCTATTAGCAGCATGGAGTGAAAGAATAGCAACTACACACACGCACGCGCACACACACACACACACACACACACACACACACACACATACACACATGCACGCATGCACAAAGAGCACTACATTGCAAATAAACCTGTCACTGTCTGTCAGGCTGGCTTCAAATCCTCCACCCTCCTGCCTCAGCCTCCTAAGAGCTAGGGTTACAGATGGGTACCACAACACCCACCTTTAGGCAGGTCCCCCACAATCACACTGGGGGTGTGTGCCATTGTTACCCCCATTTCTTAGAGGAGGATGCTGAGGTTCAGTAAAGGGAAGTCCCATGGGGGCTTGTTGTTAAGTACGTAAGTATATGTCTCAAGATATAGACCAGGCTGGCTCTGAAATCCCAGAGATCCTTCTGCCTCTGCCTCCCGAGTGCTGGGAGTAAAAATGTGTGCCAAAATATCTGGATTTTTGTTGTTGTTGTTGTTGTTGTTACAGGCTCTGCCTATATAGCCCCAACTGGCCTTGAACTTACAACCTCCTGGTCACAGTTTTCAGGTGTGCAGCACTGTGCATAGCTTCTCTGTCATAATCCTCCCTCCTCCCCTCCTTCTCCCCCCTCATCCCTCCCTCCCCATCCTCCTCTTTTTTCTTCTCCCTCCATCTTCTCTTCCTCCTTTTCTTCTTTTTCTTTTCTTTTTTGTTTTTGTTTTTCGAGACAGGGTTTCTCTGTGTAACTTTGTAGACCAGGCTGGCCTCGAACTCACAGAGATCTACCTGTCTCTGCCTCCCGAGTGCTGGGATTAAAGGTGTGCACCACCACCACCACTCGGTCCTCCTTTTTTCTATATAAGGCTTCCTACTGACTTCTCTTATCCCTGGTTTCCTTCTCCACGAAAACGAGAGGAGTCACAGAGCCTTAGAACCATTTCTAGGACAGGGATGGTTAAAGAAGCAAAGTGTGCAAAATCCTCTGCACAGGGTCTGGCCCATCAAGGGTCTTCTAAGTCTCGGTTATGAGCCCAAACCTCACGAGAGAGACCAGCGAGCAAAGACAGGCCTGTTACTCCCTAGGGAGAGTGTGGCAAGAGTGCAGGGTGGGGGGGAATCTCACCCTTACTCAGCCAAAACCACAAAAATGTAGGAGTGTGCTCTGTACCTGACTCCCACGGCACCCCAAACAATCAGATAAAACCACAATAATGACCAAACTCACAGCGTCCTGGGGTCTGTCACTAATTAAGCACTGCTCTTGGCCACAGCTGGGCTGTGTGACCTGGAGTGAGCAGCTTAAACTATCTGTGCCTCTCTTCCCTCCCACCTCGAAGAGTTATGAGGTTAAAGGGCACCATGCAAACTTTGCATAGTCATTACTGCTGACTGCCAACTTGACAGGGCCTAGCGTCATCTAGCAGAAGAACCTAGCTTGGACAAGAACCTAGCTCGGACATTAAGCTCTCAGGGAGCATTAGCCATTGCGATCCTGGTTGCTGCTCTCTTTCCTGGTCCTTACCCTTCCTCCGAATTCCCAGAGGGGGAAAAAAAAAAAGGAGGGTTCTGCCTCACCTCACTCATCTTCCCAGCTTCTCTCCAGAGAGCACAACACTTCCCACTCACTGAACGTCTACTACATGCCAGGGGCCATTTCTAGCCCTCGGGTCACCCTCCTGGAAAGGAGGATGGCATTTCCTGGCTGCAGCAGGAGAGGTGAGGCTCCTACCTTGTGTATATGCACATCTGGTGGGTTCCAGATTTTCTGAGGTCCCCAAGGAGCTAGAGCCCTGGATGGGTAGAGTTGGCTGCTAATTTGCTGGGATGGGACTCAGAGGAAGAGGGGATGAGGAGAAGGACTAATCGGAGCTGGCGTTAGTAGTTCCATCTAAGACTAGTGTGCTTGGCTAGTTCATGTCAGCTTGACACAAGCTACAGCCACTTCAGAGCCTCAGTCGAGAAAACTCCCGCACAAGACTGGCTCGTGGGCAAACCTGTGGTATATTTTCTTGATTGATGGTTAATGCGGTAGGTCCAGACTCACCATGGATGACCTTTGCCAGGTGGTCCTGGGTGCTATAAAAAGGCAAACCAAGCAAGAGTAGGCTGGGATTCTCCATGGCCTCTACTTCATCTCCCGCCTCCAGGTTCCCGCCTTGAGTTCCCGCCCTGACTTCCCTCAGGGATGCACTGTGATGTGGAACTGTAACCTGGAATAAGCCCTCTCCTCCTCACGTTGCTTTAGGTCTCAGTGTTCATCCCAGCAAGAGAAAGCAAGGAAGGGCAGCTTGGCTCTTCTCTGCAGAGCCTGGGCAGCGGGAGACGGGCAATACCCACAGGACACCAGGGGAGTCTGAGCTTCAGGGCTGCCTACCGAAGTCAGCAGTGCCACCTGCCAGCTGGGGAGCCGCCACTCACAGTGCAGCTGAGGTGCCAGGATACTCAGGATCATCATCTCCATGGCGTCGGCCATCTGTGGGAGGAAGGGATATTGTGAGGCCGAGGTGCATCCTGCCCTGGCCTGGGAGGCTGCAGCCAACCCTCTGCTTCCTGTTGCCATCTGGACAGACATCCATGGGGAAGCCTCTGGGATTGAACCAATGGGCTGCTACACAGGGACCAGGTGACAGCTGATGCGCTTGGAGTGTTTCTCCACACTCTGTCTGCTTGCTTTAAATTTTTATATTTATTTCTCTTTTTTTTCTATCTTTCTTTTCCAGACAGGGTTTCTCTGTGTAGCTTTGTAGACCAGGCTGGCCTTGAACTCACAGAGATCCGTCTGCCTCTGCCTTCCAAGTGCTGAGATTAAAAGCATGAGCTGCCACCACCTTGTATTTGTTTCTCTATGTGCATGGGTGTTTTGCCTATATGTAAGTCTGTGCACTGTGTGCATGTAGTGACCTTGGAGGCCAGAAGAGGCAGTGTTGAGCCACCATGTGGGCACTGGGAATTGGGAAATTGAATTTGGATCCTCCAGATGAGCAATCGGTGCGCTTGACCGCTGAGTCATCTCTCCAGTCACTCTTTAAAATTACATTTATTTGTGTAATCTCACAGGCCCCTTTGTGTGTTTTAAGTTTTTGCTTGTTTGTGAGACAGGGTCTCATTATGTAGCCCAGACAGCAATCTCTCAGCCTCCACCTCCCACACACTGGGATTACAGACCTTTACCACCATGGGCAGCATCATTTCCTCATATTCTTAAAAACACAGGTTCTTGGGTCAATGAGATAGCTCAGTGGGGAAAAGCACAGGCTGCTAAGCCTGAGGTCATGAATTCGACCCCCAGGATCCACACCGTAGAAAGAATGAATCAGCTCTGTCCCTGCCAGTCGTCCCCTGACCACCACATACATGTTCACCATGGTACACACACTCACGTCACACACACTCACAGACAGATACTCACGTAGTCATACACACACACACTCACACACTCACAGACACACACTCTCACAGTCACTCACAATCACATAGTCATGCACACTCACAGTCACACATACACACTCACAGACACACACTCTCACAGTCACTCACACTCATAATCATGCACACTCCCAGTCACACACTCACACACACTCACACGCACACATAATGTATTATGAAATACAGGTGCTCCCCAGAGGAAGTAAGAAAGCATCACAAGTCTAAGAGCTGAGCACGCATTCTCACAGAAGCAGACAGACAGAGAGTATGGTCTTTTCTCTTCGGTGCAATCACTCCTTTGTCTTTGGTTGGTCATGTGCTTGTGAAGAATTGTCTGCATGTTTAATGAACATAGTGTTTGCATATATTAGCATATATTAAGAAGCCCCAATTACTAAATGTCTTGATACTACTCTATGACTAAACAGAATATTGGAGTGTTAAAAGCAGATCCACACACAGGCAGAGGCACACAGGCCACAGGAGCGCGGGCACACTACAGGTCTGTTTCTAGTTAGTGAGAGAAGTGGCAGAGAAACTGATGGTCTGTTTGGACACACATGTGCTTAGGTCAATTCTCACATCAAGCTCAGAGAGGCTGTGCAGCTGGATTAAACTGTGTTGTGGCTCTTTAAGGGATTTTAGCAAGGAGTTGTGAACACCTTGAACCAGAATTCATTCTTTATTTTATTTTACTTTTTGTCATGCTGGGGGATGGAGCCCAGTGTCTTGCATACAGCTAGGCAAACACACTGAACTATACTCCCAGCCGAGATGGCCAATGTTTTCTATGAAGTCTGCTTTCCTGGGCAGGGATTTGACCCAACACCATCATCTCACAGCATCCCTGAGTCCCCAAGAGCAGGGATCCACCTCTGTAACTGGATGCTTCCTGAGGGTGATGGCCAACCACATTCAACTTCCTCCCAGCATGCACCTGGGCCATTACTATAAATGAGCTTTGCGGACTGGCATTCAGGCAGAAGCTATGTGCAGAGACAACTGTGCTATGCCTGTGGCCATGGTACCCAGCTGACCTTCAGGGGATTCTTGGGGTGTACGGGAGATGCTGTGCCCATATACTTACCCAAGCCAAGCCAGTGAGAACAGAGAGCTTCCACTGAAATCTTCCAAACCCAATGGCTTCCACCGCATCTTCCACCATGAAAGTGTCTAGGAAGGAAAAGGGGAGAAGAGGAGGGATCAATACATCTTGTATTTGTCTAATGTGGCATCTGGGGTAGTCCCCAGACAGGCTAATTAACTGTATGTAGCATGTGCTGCTATAAGAACTGGCATTTCCGGGCGGTGGTGGCGCACGCCTTTAATCCCAGCACTCGGGGAGGCAGAGGCAGGCGGATCTCTGTGAGTTCGAGGCCAGGCTGGACCAACAGCCTCCAAAACAATACAGAGAAACTCTGTCTCATAAAACCAAAAAAAAAGAAAAGAAAAAGAACTGGCATCATAGCCATCATCATCACCATCATCACTACTGTGGTGGTTTGGAAGAAAATGTCCCCCATAGATCCATAGGGAGTGGCATTATTAGGTGTGGCCTTGTTGGAGTAGGTGTGGCCCTGTTGGAGGAAGTGTGTCACTGCAGAGGTGGGCTTCAAGTTCTCATATGCTCAAGCTATGCCCAGTGTGGCATACAGTCTGCTTCTGCTGCCTGTGGATCAAGATGTAGAACTCACAGCTCCTTCTCCAGCACCATGTCTGCCTGCATGCCACTGTGTTCCACCATGACAATGATGGACTAAACCTCTGAACTGTGAGCCACCCCAGTTAAATGTTTGCTGTAGGAATTTAGCAGGGTCGCTGTATCTGGGGTAGGCATTAGGGTGAATAGTTGTTTTCTAGACGCACTTTGACCTTGAAGAATCACTGTGGAAAACAGTAAAGAATCTTTGTGGAGAACAGTGATTGCTTTCCGTGATTTGGAGAATTGTTTTTCTGAAGGGGCGTTGCAGCCATTGCATGACTTTGGTCACAAGATGCCTGTGGCACACCGGAGGCTCTTGGGTTATCGTGTCTTGCAATAATACACAGTAAAGGACTAAAGTCAGGAAGGAATGTGATAGTCTCCTTTGGAGAGACAGATTAGATCGGACTTTGGCATGAGGAAATACTTTACCTAAAACAGCTTTGTGTAACAATCAATACATATACCTTTGTATGGCCGTTTGGGGTTCAGTTCAGTTCATCAGAGGCTAGACCTTACCCATGCAACTCAGAGCACCCTAATGAAATGTTTTCCTTTATAAGAGTTGCCATGGTCGTGGTGTCTCTTCTCAGCAATAGAAACCCTAACTAAGACAACCATCATCATCACCATCACCACCATTACTATTACCACCACAACCACCATCATCATGATCATCACTACCGCCATCTTTACTGCCACCATCACCACCACCACAGCCATTATCAACATCATGACCATCACCACCACCACTCTTATCTGCAGCAGCAACATAATCATCATCAGCATAATTGTCATCGTCACCACCACCATCACCCTCGTCACCATCAGCAGCACCATCAGCAGCAGCATTGTGGCTGCCCTTCTCAATCAAGTGTGCAAGTGTGCAATGATGCAACTAACAGGGATTGTGATGTAACCGTACCTCCTGAAGTAGGCCTCATAGCCCTAGCCTACCCTTCCAGTGTCATCCTTAGGTGCTCTGTCTTCCCAACTGCCCCTTCACAAGACCTTTCTAAGACCACCACCTAGGCAGGCAGACAGGGTGCCGGGCTAATGCCTGAGTCACTGGGCTTTCTTACCATCAGTGGGATTGGCAAACTCCTTGGGCACAGCTGCCCCATCATCCAGCTCCACCGCTTCTAGACCCACTCGGACCCCCTCGATCTGGACATCATGCTCTCCGGAAGCCAAGTCGTCCTCTGACCTCGCACTCTCTCCCGTCCGGCGGAATTTCACCACCCTAGAGAAGAAGACCAGTGTGATCAGCATGGCTAGAGCTGCCTCCAGATTGCCTTGCTGCACAGCTTTCCCACCCGAGACAGGTACAGAGCATTTTCTCACTGTCTGGGGGGCTGGACGGGTAGACCTGGCATTTATGTTGAATTTGGTTGGGCATGAAATGGGGATGGTGGTGATGTTGTGAGTTATTGATCTGCTGAAAGTTGGACAGCTGGGCGCTGCACAGTACTAGAGGCTGGCCTTCTCATGTGCATGACTCCGCTTTGTCCTTGACCTGAGCTCTGTTTTGACACAGATTCATGCATTGCTTAATAGCTGTCAGAATGCGTCGTTGGCCATTTCCTAACTGTGGGAATGTCATAGTGTGTGTTTACACAGACAGACAGTGATGAGGTGACCTAGCCTTCTGGGTACATTGTCATATGTCCAAGGGCATCACTGAGTGGTGTGTGTGTGTGCAATGTAGGCTGCTTGTTTGGGTCTTCAGACACATCTGTCTGTAACAGGTAATGACTGGATCACATACACGAGGCTTATGAAACAAAATTGCTCTGTTCCTGTTTCAGCTTTGACTTACAGCAGGGGTTCTCAACCTTCCTAACACTGTGACACTTTCCTCACATTGTGGTGACCCCCGACCATAAAATGTCTGTTATTTCCTCATAAGTATAACTTTGCTACAGTTATGAATCATAATGTAAACATCTGATATGCAGGATATCTGATGTCACCGGTTAAGAACTGGTGACTTAAAGGGACGTCACATAAAAGCCACATTCCCAGGTCTCTTGACTGTGACAGGGACAACTCCATCCTGACCTTGACTCCTTTTCTCTAAATGGCCTCTAGCCCTGAGAGCTGTGATCTCATCTCCATGCGTCTCTGCTCCTCTGCACTCCCCACTTTGCCCATTTGTCTGGCCCTGAAGACATTTGAATTTGAGCCTCCACACCGTGCCACTTACTCATCAAACTGTGTATCCTTCCCTCCGTCCATCCATCCATTCTCCCTCCGTCCCTCCTTCTGTCCGTCCGTCCGTCCGTCCCTCCCTCCCTCCCTTTCTTCCTTCCTGCATTCCCTCTTTTTTTAAAAAAAAATAAAGACTGGATCTCACTATGTAGCCCAGGCTGGCTTTGAACTCTTGATCCCCCCCCCCGCCTTAGCCTCCAAATGCTTCACGGGTATGTATCACTACTCCTGTTCCAAACAAAGCTATTTCTCATCTCTCGAGGTGGGGGGGAGGGGATACAGGAGGGGGAGGGAGCCGTAGGGGACATGGCGTCTTTGAGAGACTGACTGTGTCTTTATCTGAAACTTGGGACAGAGTGAACAATCTCTTTGCAACCTTTTCCCTCCCAAACATAAGACCCCTGCTGTCTGTCACCCCGGGTTTGAGGTCACAGCCAAATGTACCCCCCAGCTCCAGGAGAGGGAGCTGTCCAGTGTGGGAGGCTCATTTCTGTGTGACTTTGAAAAATCACCAACAGCAGAGGGGCCGTGTGAGCAACTGAGCAAAATGAACCTTGGTTTAAAGAGGCAGAAGGGGCAGGCAAGCTCAATACTAACTGCTACTATTATTACTACTGTGATGGTCTCACATAGCCCAGGCTGGCCCTGAATTTGTTATACAGCTGAGGATGGCTTTGAACTTCAGATCTCCCAGCCTCTACCTCCTGAGCAATGGGATGGTCGACCTGCTTGATCTGTGCTGAGACTCAAACCCAGGGACTCACACATGCTAGACCCGTGCTCCCCCAACTGCCCCTCCTGCTGTGACAGCTTTTGAATTATTCTGTGGACCCGTGGAGATTTGCTGTGCTATGATATACAACACGCTTGTTTCAGAAGCACATGGAAGCTGCCTTGCTTGGAAGCTTCTAGAATATACACATGCCTGGTCACTGGGATGTGAGGACCCACAGGATCTTCATTCTTAGTGACACTATGCCTGGAAAGGGGCCAAGTGCAGAGTGGGTTGACTGAGTGTGAAGCCTGTGGCTGACACTTCTCTCTCCTGCATTCCGTGGGGGTATTTAGGACCAGTGAGTTTGAGTTTGTGTGGCTTGGCTGGCATTTTCTTTTCTTTCTTTTTCTTTTTTTTTAATTTTTGTTTTGTTTTGTTTTTCAAGCAGGGTTTCTCTGTGTAGTCCTGGCTGTCCTGGAACTACTCTGTAGACCAGGCTGGCCTCAAACTCACAGAGATCCACCTGCCTCTGCCTCTGAGACTAAAGGCGTGCAATGGCTGGTATTTTCTACATGCTTTGTTTGTATGACAGTGCTGTGAGGTTGCTGTTATCACCATTTTACAGACAAGAAAAACTGAGGCCCTGACATCATGTGACATGCCCAAGTCCATGTCACACAATCCCAGAAGCATGGAACAAGGGTTCTATCCCAGGTCTTCCCGGCTCTGAGTCTCATGTTGTAGGCACACTAGAAGAGTCTCTCTCTCCAGATCTGCCCATAGCTCCCATGTGCTCCAAACCTTTGTGGGAAATGTTTTACATGGAATTATTTCAAGTGTATAAAATTATACAGAAATCCATTTTCTCCTTTCCACTCAGCACTTCCCTTGGGTTGAGCCATGACACGCCACCAACCCTAGGGTGTCATTCAGTGGATGCCACAGATTTGTCCCCACACATTTTCACAAGTGACCCTTCCTCAGTCACACATGCCTCACTATTCAATATAACCCTGGAAACCCCCTGAGAAGGAGGCCTGTTACCATTGCCTCTGGAGGCTGTTTACATCTTTACACTCAGGCTAGGATGACTGTGATGTTCTTTTGGAAGCATGGCCTAAAATATCTTGTTCCTCCTCCTTCTTTTTTGTTTTAGATGATGTAAAATGCCCATAACATAATCCTGGGCACCCTAACCATCTTAAGTGACCATTCAGCGGGATAAAGTACGCTTGCATCCATCACCCCCCCAATCTCTGAACCTGTTCCATATTTACATCTCATACTCTGTCCCCTTAAACTCATTTCTTCCTGCACCCAGAACCCAGCCAGCGCCTAGCAATTGTCATTCTCTTCTAACTCAGCTGCCATAGAGAGCTCATGTAAGTGAATCAGCATTTTACTCCTGTTCTTTTTCAATCCTGGGGATTGAATCTAGGGCCTTGTGCATAAGAGGCAAGCTCTGTATCACTGAGATATGCCCACCACTTTCCCTTTTACTTTAAAATTGTCAAAGTTTCACTAAGCCTTAAACTCAGTCTGTAGCCAAGGCTAGCTAGCCTTGAACTTGTGATCCTCCTGCCTCAGACTCCTAGCCTGAATCATTACCAAGCCCAGCTCCTCACTCCTTTGTGAAGGCTGAGTAATAGTCCATTGTATGGACATACCACAGTTGGTTCGTTCACCAGCTAACAGGGACTTAGGTGATCCCATCTTTTGTCCATTGTGGAACAAGGCTGTGACAAACGGGAACGTACAATTTCTGTTTGAGTCCTTGATTTTACTTCTTTGTCATATAAGCCGATCAGTGTTTAAAATTTTGAGGGACTGCCAGAGTGACTCGCACACCACTTAATATTCCCACAGACTCCTGTCTGTGCATGTACTTGCCAATCATTGCTCGCTTCCCCTTTGTCTGAACACAGACAACTGACGAGTGCACTATGGCTTACTGGGGCTTTCATTTGCATCTTTTTTTTAAGTTTATTTTTAAAATTGCATATGTGTACACAGGCACTCTCCACATCACATGCCTGGAGGTCTCATAAGACCAATTCCAGGGATCAGTTCTCTCCTACTGTGTAGGACCCAGGGCAGCAGATCCTTATCAACCATCTACTTTGCAAACATTTTCTTGAGTCCTTGCCCGGGGTTTTCTGTCTGATTGTGATCCTTAGACACAAGGAAGGTTTTTTTGTTTTGTTTGGTTTTTTTTTGTTTTTTTGTTTTTTTGTTTTTTTTTTTGAGACAGGGTTTCTCTGTATTGTTTTGGAGGCTGTCCTGGAACTCACTGGTAGACCAGGCTTGGTCTCGAACTCACAGAGATCCACCTGCGTCTGTCTCCTGAGTGCTGGAACTAAAGGCGTGCACCATCACCGCCCGGCTACAAGGAAGGTTTTTACATTGATGTGATCGAACATCTGGTTTTGTTTTCATTGCTTATGCATTTCTCGTGAACAGAACAGTCACCACGGAGCCCAAGGTCATGAAGCATTTTGTTTTCTTCTAACCATTAATCTACTTTGTGTGTGTGTGTCTGCACACAAATATGCATCCTACGGCATACCCATAGAGGCCAGAAGACAACTTGTAGGAGTTCCTTCTCACATTCCACCATGTGGGTCCCTAAGTTCAAACTCAGGGCCTCAGGTTTGGCAGCAAGTGCCTTCACCCACTGAACCGTCTTGCCAATCCCTTTTCTAAAGGTTTATGGGTTTTTTTCTTTGAAACACTTAGAGTTGATTTTTTTTAGATGGTGTAAATTTAGGACTGCCTTCATTCTGTTTTCCTCTCCATTAGGCAGTTGTATGCCATTGTTAAATCCATCCATTTTCAGGGCTTCTCCTGGCTTTGTATTCCACTGAACTGTCTGATGAGGCAAGTGCCACACAGGTTTGACCTGCATAGCTTTCTAGCAACTATGTTTTTAAAAAATATATAAAAATTAATTTTGAACCCACATGCCTTTAACCCCAGCACTTGGGAGTGAATTTCTGAAAATCTGAGGCCACTCTGGGCTATAGAGTGAGTTCCAGGCCAGCTAGGGATACACAGAGAAACCCTGTCTTGAAAAATTCCAACCAAATTACAACCAAAAAATAATTAATTTTGATATTAGGACCCATGAGACATCCCTGGTGTCTTCTGGGTGTCCGTGTGACTTCTAAGATAGATTTTTCCATTTCTGAAAAGAATGCAAAGTGGATTTCTGGAGCAGGGATTTACCGATAAAGTGCTCTTCAGAGAGTACCCACTGCAAACTGGGGACCTGGGAGACAGCAGCAGAAGCATTTCAAAGGTTCCACCACATCCCTAGG